TAGTTCTTGGGGGGGGGGTGAGCATATTTATATATAAATATATATATATGAGTGAAGAATGGGAAATATATGCACCTCGTAGAAAATTGCAAATCTGCCTCGGAGGTCGGCTTCTTCTGCGTTACGCATGAATTTTGCGTGAAAAGTTCCTGAATGAGGCCAGCATCATGGCCCCTTATATCTGAATGTCCGAAGGTTTCTTGTCTTGCCGTTTAGTCACTGCAGGGCCTCTGCTCGACGCCTAGGCTCCTTGCCGCCCTTTGTCGCTCTTCATTGGGACGAACATTATTGGATTCCGAATTTCGTTGTCTTCCTTCATATGGGGGGGTCTTGCTGCGGCCCTAAACTCCTCATCTTCCTTTTCCTCTTCATCTGCATATTCCCGCAGGCTTTTTTGATTCCTCGCATCCCGTAATGAAGAGGGCCTTGCTGGATGCCTAGGTTGATTATCTTCGTTTATCTCGTTCATGTGGCTTACTACGGGAGGGGTCGGAAGGATTCTGTCCTTTCATGTCCTTTCCCTTTCCTATGTTTGTCTCCATTTGATGTTTCCTCATCTTCCTTTATGATATCCTCGTCGGGTTCTCTGATTTCTCACTTGATCTCGCTTCTTGTTACCAGTTGGACCTATTGTTTGTCTGCACTCTCTGGTCTTCTTCGCGTCTGGAGCAAGAGAAGCCCCAAGCCTCACGCAATGGATTTAGAGCCGTACATCTTACTCAAATCATGTCTCATCTTCTATTGACTCTCTGAGAGAAAGCCCGCTCGAAATGGTGTCCTGTTTTGTTTGCTCAGGTGCCATCTTTGTCGCTGGCCTGAGCATGCCAGGTCGAGTCTAGCATCTTGATAAAGAGTGCGTTCACCCTCAAACTGAGCAAACTGCGCCAAGTGGCTGAGTACTGAAAGGGTTCCCAGGTGTGGGAAGCACGTGCAGAGAGAGCACGAGCAATGCTCAATGCCCTCTCCGAATTTAGGAGTCAGCCACACACGCAGAGACTATTGAAGTAAGGAAGTGTGAAACCGTGAGGGCTATTCAAATCAACCTCGTGCACCACATTTCTTTCTGGCTGTTTGGCGTCCAGTTGGTGTGCTTGTGATGGTTCATAAACCATTCACATGGCATGACAGCTGACAGCAGCTGACGTTCTGCAGAAAGAGATGGGAAGCTCGAGCTTCTAGTTCGTTTCTGCCAGCTGATCACATGCGGGGCTGGCATTTGATGCTTTGCCTCAGGGTCTGGAAGCCCATGGGTCTTGCGCATGCAGAACGTGCCAAGCCGGGCTGGAGACTGCTGCAACTTGAAAAGCTCAACCACCTTCTGAGCAGTGTCTGGCCTGGCTTTGTGAGGCTGCATGGCGGTCCAAAGATTCTAGCATGTTTTAGCACAACTGCACTGCTCAGCACGCGGCTGCAGTCCATACCGCGGTCGAGATTGAACGAAGTGTCCCTGCATCTTCGGCTCTTCCTGGCGATGAGTCTTCCAATTCGCTCTATGAACCTTTCTTCCTACATGCAAGAGCCATTGTCAGCCTATGCAATTTCGTGTCATTTCCATGCCTCACTTTGGCAGTCCTCCATGAGTGGCCAGTCGTCCAAAGCAACCCAGGTGGCTGGCTTGAACTTGTGGACCTGGCATCTTCGTCAAGAAGACTCAATGCTTTATAAAGCCGATCATCAATTTTCAAATTTTGCTATAGAGCTGAGAACCCATCCCATGCGAGGATCTCGCGGCTGCGATGAAATTGTGCTAGGTTAGGCGTGCGTCCAACAGGTGGCCCCAACCTGATACAGTTATGGAGTGTCTGGAGCACGGTGCTTCTGATGCTTATGGCAACAAGCAGATTAGACGCATTCCAGAGCTTCTGCTGAGCACAGCACCCGAACTCCCGCAGCTTGCCCTCCGCGTGACGAGTGCACAACACGGACCAACAAATGCATCAAGTTCAAGCGACATGAAGAGCCAAGCTCCTCCACAAACTTGCGTGCTTGAGGGTCCTGTCAAGTTGAGCTGAGCTCTGGCAACAACCTCAATATCTTTCAGCTGCATGGCGCACCAGCCGCCAGGCCGTAGACAAACAAATGGCCGCTCCAGTTGCCTCAAAGTAAATCCAGAAAACAGGATGTAAGCCAAAAGGCAGCTACCCTGAGCAGTTGCCTGCCTTGACAACATCAGCCACCAAAGCCTCGTGACCGAAATTCGATGAGGTCTCCGTTTCGAACGAGAGACAAACATGAATACCAACGAGGATCAGAGTCGCACCAGGCAGCCGTTCACGAACTGCTGTCGTGGGTGGCGTGCCTGCAAGACTCAAACGTACAGAGCGCCAGGGATTCTGCGAAGCTGTCCAGGAGCCTGGACTGGGTGTAACACCTGAACTTGTGTCTCACCGAACAGCTTCAACATGCAGCAATTGCAGCAGCGCTGATTGCAGAGTCCCGAGCTCCATCGACATCAAGGAAAAGCACCTCAGGATGCAGCAAGGACATGCTGCGCGTGATGTCTGCCGCAAAAACTCTAGGGTGCCAGCGGCCGCCAAGCCACCATCACGGGCAGGAGGCACTTGCTTCTGATTCACAGTTTCTGAATGGAGTTGTCGGGCTCCCAGCCTAGTGGATCAGTCGCTGCAGCAAGCCATCGCAGGCAACTGGGTTCCTCGCTGCCGGGAGCCGTGCGGTCGCTCGGGACTGGGAGGCCCATGAAGTGCTTGCAGGATCTGTGCCTCCGGAGCCGGGTCAAAGTGTGGCCCAAGGGCCGAAGGTCCAATTTGCTGGGCTTACTCTGCCACGGCCCGCTGCGTTGGAGCTGCGAGGCCGCGCTTGGCCAAGCAGGTTGGGAAGATCAGTTCGGCCGCGAGCAGATGCCTCAAACAGCCATGCAAGAAGGGACTGGCAGCCTGGTATGCCTTCTGTAGGTACCTGCGATGATGAACGTCTCCGTTCCCCAGAGCTGGCCACAAGGATCGTCATTCGACAATGTATGGTATGCTATGGAACTTGCAATCCAGTACTCTCAGCTCTTTGATGTGCTGTCATGCTGGTCTTGCGAGGGCTGGCTGCTACCACATACCACATCCGATCGGAACGCAAAAGCAAAAAGCCCAAGATCTGCTTTGCAGCTTGAGCCCAGGAACTGCCCAGTCGTGCGCTTGCATCGCTACAGTAGCTGCGCCTAGTGGTGCGCTGTGCTTCGCTGCTACTTCCTTGCTAGCTAGGTAGAAAAGTCTGCTTCCACGCCCACTTTTGATGCAACGACGCTCTGGCTCTCGGTCGGTAGGCTACAGGAACCTCGGCGCATCGCTTGCAGAATTCTGTAGACATAAGAGGAACATGCTGCATTTTGTGCGGCACGTGCAGCAAGAAGAATGCCAGTGCCCGTCCGGCCTCGGGTTCGGGTTCCACCAGGGCAGCAGGGTGAGAAAGAACATGACCTGCACAGGCTTTGTTTCGGGAAATGACTTTGGCATCTGAGCATGTTTGTGTGTGTTTGCCAACTACTAAATAGGTTGCTGCGAGGCTGCCGACAGCCCAAGTCCCTGACAAACAGCTGGTAGATGAAGCGCTGCCAATAGGGCCTTGCTGCTGCCATTCCAAGATGTTCAAGAATTGATGGAAACCGCGTGATACTTTGCTGGCCCTTTTACTCAAGCGCACGGCGGCTGTGGCTGAGCCGGTGCTGCTGCTGGCGCCTCAAACATGTCAGCACTTGCAAGCGAGAAAGCGCGTGCCAAAGGCCAAAGGCATCTGGGGGAAAGGCATCGGGTGTCGCGCTTGTCGCATCACCACTGGCAGAAGGTGCAACTTCTGCAGGTTCTCCCTGCCTTGGCTGTTTGCGAAGTAGGCTGAACCACTCTTACTATCTATCATTGTAATTAATCATTGTACTGAATCATGTGATCATGGCTGCCTTTGGCTGTCCTCCTGCTCTGTGGCAGCTTGAGCTTGGCTGCCTGAGCTGCCTGAGCATGGGTCGCCCAGGGACAGGACACCGCAAATTCGCAGATCACAGAGGCCTTCCGATGCTTCACCACCGGTCCCCACCCCCGCGGCTTCTCCAGCATTGACGCCAGCAGAGGCCGCTTCATTGGCTGCCTCAAGACGCGCACACATCTCGGGAGATTCATGGCCGCAGACAAAAAGCTAGAAAAGGGGAGCTAGAGTCTGGAGCACCTGCTGTTCTCTTCGCAAGGCGTTGAGCTGGTGCTCGAGCGTGACCTGTTCAGATGTCCAATCTGCTTTAAGACACTGCATCATTCTGGGCGTGACAGCCCTGAGAGCGTAACTTGTGTGTTTGCCAGATTTTGACACCACTCGATCCAAGGGTCGAAAACTCCACCTGTTGCGAACAAGCTTCATGCCCTCAGAAGCACATGCTATCTGGAGCAGCGGGCCTAAGTAGAGGAGCGCCTGAATTGTTGGCCAACAAAGCTGTCTGCCATGAAGCAAATGATGTTGACCGACTCCTATGTGCCGAGGGACCAGGAGAAGGTACAAGAGGTACCACCCAAGGAGCTTCACCTCCAGAAGGATCATCACCATGAACACCTGCTCCACATCGACATGGCTGATGCGAGAGCACTGGAAGAGGCAGGCCTTGAAAAGGAGAGATAGCCTTCTTCTGTGCACCGGCCTCTGTGCCTCTGCGGATTGGGGAGTGGCATTCCGTTCCCATTGACCGGCTGAGGGGCGCACCGCTGCTTCCTGCGCTGCTGCGTCTGGTGCAGCGTTTGCAGCGTCAGGCGCTGCTGCAGGCTGCCCTGCGCTGGTTTTGTGTACGGCAAAGAAGTGCACACAAAGCGCGTGGCGGCATCATGCATCATTGCATCATGCTTTGCTGTTTGCATGCGCCTTCTTGGGCTTCATCCGGCTCAGCGGGTTGGTTTCCAGGCCAGCCCTTAGGTGGGCCAAGCTGTCCAGAGTGGTAGAGTGGCGCCGACTGCTTGCTTGCAGCTTGACAACTGTGGGGTGGACCTCCGCATAGGCCGTCAGAGCGTTGGCCGCCTCGCGACCAGCAAGGCATTGCTTGAATGAGCACGCTGCAAATGTATATGGATGCTGCCGAGACGCAGCGACGACTGCCTCTGACTTAGTGTCTTGCAGTATGTGCCAACTCTACGGCCAGCCGGACAAGCTCTCTGCAAGTGCATGTATAGCCCAACCTCTGCTTCTCCACTGAAACCGAAGCGCGAACGCTGAAAAGCATCTTTGTCACAGGTCTCCTGCAGTCGCCTGCATGTTTCAATCACCCTTCTGTATGCCAGGATGCTGTGCTGATACATCAAACTCCAGCCTGTGCTCTTGGACGTACTCGTGCAGGCGGGATATCTGCAACTCAACCCTGAATCACGGCCATTGAATTAAGCTGGCATGTGGATGAAGGCCGCGGAAGCTGAGGCACAGGCTGCTGCAATTGGAGCAAAGTAGTGTTCAACATGCCCTGCCAAGCTTGCAGGTGGCACTGCGTCTCTGGGTGAACTTGCCCAAAAGCAAAAACCACAGCTTTACACTGATTCTTCACAGCGTTGATTGTACTCTCACAGGCTGTGCGAGACATGTTTTCGGGCACTGCCGGCACGCTTAGGCGAGCCCGGCCAACGTCTGCTTTCAATTTTCAAGTGCTAAGGCCCGCATGCCGCAACATGAATGTTTGTGCGGGACTCAGTCGATGTCTAGCTGCTGGACTGGATTCATGCCTGCCTGTGCATCTTTCTGACCAAGGCAGTCATACGCAGGGCGATACCAAGCGTTTTTCCGTGGTAACGCGGAGGCCGAAAATGAGACGATCACGCGAAAATGCACGCCACTTGTGCTAATGTTGGACGTTGCTTGTTTAATGTTTTAGTCTGGCCTACTGCAAATGCCTAAAGTGTCCACATTCAGCAGCGGAGAAAGTCACCCATCGCTCATAGCAGCTCCACCAAGCGGTTTGCAAACTCCACGTCGAGGAATCAGCTTGGGAGTGTTCACTCTACTCCCTCACACTCGTAGTTTGCAGAGCCCCTGTCTGCTTTCGTATGCTGGCCTGGGCAAACAACAGATTGGCCGGGTAGTGTGAGACCAATGCCACATCATCTGTCTGACACCTGCAGCAGCTGCAAAAATCACCGAGGCTGGGTGTCAAGAAAGATGTTTTGAAGCTCAAGCTCCCGACGACTGTGTCTGCAGTCCATTGGATACCTGCCACAATTTTGCTGTGCCTGCAGTTCCTGCAGAGTGTATGTCCTATGGAGTCTATCATATATCCATCCCGTTCAGAGCATCCCAGAAAAGCCTCCATGCTTCAGCGCAGAGCCCTTTGGACGGGTTTGGAAGACTTGAGATTATCTGAAGTTCAGGCTGTCGCCAAAGTCTTTCTTACTTAGGGTTTCACTCCATCAGTCCTGGCAACTAGATGCGTTGAGCCCCTGCTGCAGAGAAGCCTTGTTGGTGTGCAACTGCAAGCAGTCAACCCGGGCAAAAGCACGCGTGTGAGGATAAGACATGTTTCAGATCACTCTCAGAGAAGACTCTTTCCATAACGAAGCACAGTCAGCACTCAATGGAATTTCAATTTGTACAACTTTGTACAGTCCTTCAGGGGCGGCGGAAAGATGGCCCTAGTTCGTCTGCTTCCCCAAGCTCTATCGGAAATGGTCAGCTGCCAAACTGAAGGGAAGTTTTCTGACCCAGCTGGGCACACTAATGAACCAGGACTGTCAATGCTGCTGGGACACTGACAGTTCCACGCGACTACACATTCCCCAACTTCGACATATTCGTCTTCAGCGAGGTAATCATGTCCTGATACTTCTCCTGATAGGTGGTGGCCAGTGGCTGCTCGCACTTACCCTCCTCTCCCGCGCTCCCCCCCCCTCTCTGTCTCGCCAATACCAGACGGCACTGCACGCATAAGGAGTAATATTAATACTAGTACTAATCATAATACTACTACTAGTACTAGTACTAGCACTAGCACTAGTACTATTACTATTGCTGCTGCTACTACTACGACTGCTAATAATACTATACTACTACTACTACCACTACTACTACTACTACTACTACTAGTACTACTAAAAACAGTAATAGAAACAGTAGAAATAATAGCAATGTACGGACTAAAGCAAGAAGTCCTTGGCGTTGTCGTCCAGGTCCGGATTCCTGGCGAAGCTTAGGGATAATGGAAACGAACATGGAAACTCCTCCATTATCACAGGGTACATTATTCACTATATATTGGGGATATATGGGGATATTTGTGTACTATATGATGCTAAATGAGTTATATAGGGGTATATATGGGGTTCTACAGGGATTATAGGGTTTAGGGTTTGGCTTTAAGATTTAGGGTTAAGAGTTTAGGGTTTAGGGTCAGAGCAGGGAGACCTCCCCTAAAACCCTAGACCCTAAATAGTAGTTTCCATTGGCTTTTCCATTATCCCAGCTAAACCCTAGATCTTAAACCTTTAAACCCTAAACCTGAAACCCTTAACCCTAAATCTTAAACCTTTAAACCGTAAACCCTTAACCCTAAATCTTAAACCTCTAAACCCTAAACCCTAAATCTTGAACCTTTAAACTCTAAACCCCAAACCCTCAAAACAAAAATGAATGGAAATCGTATACTCTCACAAGCGGACATGCAAGTTTGTTTGCTCATTGTTTTTGTTTAAACAAACTGGTGATGTTTCCAAATCCCTGCCCGCCCAAAAGCAGCCAGGCACCCAATAGCCCGGAAATAAACAACACCGAAATGGTTTGGGAGAACTGGCCCCAAACAACCAAAAAACGGTTCGAAAACGGTCCGGAGAGGCCCAAAACAGCCTCCAAAACTGCCACCAAAAACAATCCCAGAAATGGTCTGCGAGCCCCGAAATAGCTTGGGAGCCCCAAAACAGCCTCCAAAAACAGACTAGAGATAGTCTGGGAAATGGTTTGGGAGCCCCAAATGAAAAAACCGTTCCAGAATGGTCTGGGAGAAGCCCCAAAACAGCCCAGAAAAACAGTCCCAGAAATGGCTTCAGAACCTCAAAGCAGCCCCCAACCGTTCCGGAAATGGTCTGGGAGAGCTCTAAAACCAGTCTGGGGAGCCAAGGCACCAAACTGGTTTTGGACAAGTGAAAACAGAAACTTTCGGTCAAAACTTTCGGTCAAAACTCAGGGACCCACACCCTATACAATTTCTATTAACCCTAAATCTTAAACCTTTAAACCCTAAACCCGAAACCCTTAACCCTAAATCTTAAACCTTTAAACCCTCAACCCTAAACCCTAAATCTTAAACCTTTAAACCCTAAACCCGAAACCCTTAACCCTAAATCTTAAACCTTTAAACCCTCAACCCCAAACCCTAAATCTTAAACCTTTAAACCCTAAACCCGAAACCCTTAACCCTAAATCTTAAACCTTTAAAACCCTAAACCCTTAACCCTAAATCTTAAACCTTTAAACCCTAAACCCTTAACCCTAAATCTTAAACCTTTAAACCCTAAACCCTTAAACCTAAATCTTAAACCTTTAAACCCTAAACCCTCAACCCTCAACCCTAAATCTTAAACCTTTAAACTCTTAACCCTAAAGCCCTATAACCCCTAAACCCTATAAACGGTCTGATGCCAAGTCACTGCAGCTTGGCCAGGCAAAGCTGCATTTGCTTGGTGAGTTTCTCCAGCATGTGCCTGCAGCTGTAACCCCAATATTACAACAATTTTAAGTACTAAACACTTGGTGGATTTTTTAATGATTCAATAATACTCCAATATTATCACAATATTACACCAATATTTTCCGAATATTATCCGAATATTATCCCAATGTTACCCCAATATTATCCCAATATTGCCCCAACATTACCCCAACATTATCCCAATATGACCCCAATATTATCCGAATATGCCTCCTATATTATCCAAATGTCATCCCAACATTACCCCAATATTATCCCAATATTATCCAAATGTTATCCCAACATCACCCCAATATTATCCCAATATTACCCCAATATTATCGCAAGATTACCCCAATATTATCCCAATATTACCCCAATAATCCCAATATTACCCCAATAATCCCAATATTATCCCAATATTACGCCAATGTTACCCCAATATTATCCCAATATTATCCCAATATCACCCCAATTTATACCCTATGTGGCTTTCGCAGGGCTTGCGTCGTCCTTCTTGGCACCATGCTCTTTTCCTTTTTAGCGTGGGGTCGTCATTTGGGAACTGTACATGCCCTTAATTACCCTTGCTGAAAGCAGCTCGTGCAGGAAATCATGCATGCAATGGCAGCCTGATCTCTCTCACAAGAGGGACTATCAGGTATCCCTGCATGTCATAAGCGGAATGGGTTGAATCGGACTTTCGCCCGTAAAGCGAGCGATGATCTGCTTCGCAGTTCTGGCTCCAAAAACTCCTAACACTACTGAGTCACTACGGTGAAGCATCTCTTCAAGAGATACAAAGCTACCCATGTCTAAGAAAGCCTTGACTATCTCACAATTAGAGGCATCTTTGTCCGGCACAGAGGGCAGCTAGGTGTTCGGCCGCACTTTGTCGTAAAATGGTACCAATCTTCCTTGGAACAGCATTTGAGAGGTCAGTTTCGCACTTCTTGAAAGTACTCAATATCCCGAACTAGTCTGATGTGGCATGACAGCGACTACCTACTACTGTAGCTGATGAAGCTCCATGCATCGACGATGGAAGACATGGCCGCAGGGCAAAGCCTCTGGGCCCCCACCCAAGTGAAGTGGTTCTTGACAGATGACACAGGCCTAGGAGGGACGGGTCTCAAGAAGCCTGCATGTTTGAACGCTCTAAGGCAACACAGGATGTGCAAGAAGCTGTTTGGGTGCACTGGATCATGCAGCATGGCACGTGTCATGCAACTCCTGATTGCTTCATGGCCTGTGGGAGCCAAAGGGACAGCAGAGTGCATGCAACCCCAAACTGCCTCGGTTTCGCTTGCGAGGTAGAAAACTGCCAGCAGAATCGCCTGCACTTCTCCTTCGTGAGCTCCTGCCAACCTTTGCTTGCACTGCGCATGTGCTTCAAATGGAACAATCATTAGCAAATGCAATGTCGTGTAAAGACACTTGGGCAAGCGCTGCTTCAACCGCTTGACCAGCAGAGGATAGCGAGTTCGCCTGGGCAGTGGTACAGTGGGCTGTTGAGAGGGAGGCGGGGGGTGAGGAGGCCCCAGCGCGTCCCGAAAAACAGAAAAAGGTTGTGCTGGGGGTCCTGGGGCATTGCGCTACCCAACCAACTATCAGACGGCCCTCCACGATTCGGGTATGTTGTTCTATCTACATCACTGGCCCTGTGCACCCCCCTAAACCCCTAGATTTTTGTGGATGCTGCAAGTTTTCCTGGCTACTCAACAGTGGGTGGATCCAGGCATAGTGATCTTCTGTGCCGGAGATGAACGCTCCTTTCGTTAAAAGCACAGGCTGGATGGCCCCGCCCACTCTCACCACTGCAATCAAGCCATCTGGCCTTGCAGAATAACGCGAAGCCCCATTTTTGATATAGTCTAGATCTAAGCCCCCCCTCCCGGGACGCAGGTCTCTGGATTTCGATGGTGACCGGTTTTTCCCCCAATTTTGTGGTCCACTCGCATAGATGGCCCAGCCATGGCGTGGGAAAGCACCAGAAACTCTTCTTGCTCCTCAAGTAGCTGGCTGAGTTCTGCCTGCTCGACCCTTCGTCCTTGAAATTCAACCCGAAGCAGTTGTCATACTGAATGCCCGCTGACTCAGGTTTACATACCAAAACCAACTCACATTGTGCCTCTCCTGCAGCCGGAAAGCATCGCCTTCCTTTGCAACGCGCGAAACTAATCAACACCCTTCAGCAAAGCCGGCGGGAACCTGTCTGGAAGACCTACTTGCTCTTTGCTATCGCCCATTATAGTAGTTCCATTTTCTTTTCCATTATCCCAGTATAACCCCAATATATACTATACAGTAGTTTCCATGTTCAGCCTTGCATGACTTCTGCTTAGCTCCGCTGTCGACCCGTCCCTCACCCCTAGGCGGCACTCGCGGTACGAGTACAGTAACAATCAAACGGAATCAAGTGAATAATCTGTACATTCCACGTGTTGGCTGAAGATCCCAGCATCATTCTGGTTCGGATTGTCTGCATCCTGCTTGGGTAAACACTGCAAAGGCTAAACAACTGTAACCCTTGCTAAGGACAAAAGCCATAAGTCCTCAAGACTCTCAACCCCGAACACCGTAAACCTTCAAACGTCCGAGGCCTGAACACAGCGAACCCTAAACACCCTAAGTCCCAAATGCCTTTAACATCCAAGGCCTCAACGTCCAGATGCCTCTCAACATGCTAGATGCAGAGTCCCCGGAACCCTAAGCAGTATCAGTCCAAAACGCCTTCGAGACCCTCAACGCCTTTAAGCCCTTCACGACCTGAATAGCCTAAATCTTAAATGCACTTCACCCTGAACACCCCAACTTGCAACTCACCAAACCCCAAAAACCCTGAACCCTGAACCAAAATCGTCTTTGAATCCCAGTCGCCCTGAACACCCCAAACGCAAAACGCTCTGAACCCGGCAGGTTCATGCATGAGCTTACACTCCTTAGCACTCTAGAGACTATCTCAAATCTCCAAATCCTGAACACCTAGGTAACTAATCTTTCTGAACACCTTCCATCGACAACAGGTTGCGCTTGGCTGGTTCCAAGCAAATTTGTGTGATTGCGGGGGTGTTTGGGGTTATGTCTTTTTTGCTGTTGTGTTTACCTTGACCACTCTTCGCCCTTCTCACCTTGAACCTGGTACATCCCAAACACCCAATAGCCCAGATATCCTGCAGCCGGAACATATGAAAGCCTTAATTAACAACCCTGAACACTCAATACCCAAGACCTGAACATAGATCTTCCGGAGCCCCGTGAGGACTCAACAGAAAAAGAGCTTAACGAGAGCTTGAGGCCAACCGCTACTGAGAAGTCCAAGAGGAACCTTTTTAACCTACTCCCCTCAGTGCTGCAGGACAAGACAACGTAGGGCGTAAGTAAACTGCTGCCTTCTCACCGCATGACACGTGGATGGATATCAATGGGCCAACGGAAACAAAGCCAAAAAGCTTTTCATGTGCACTCTCTCCATCTATCTCTGCTTCTGGCAAGCACCGCAGTGCATCAGCTGCTGCTAGGCGAACATCACTGTCCGGGTCATCTAAGGACAGCAGAACCAGCATCTCAAAGAGGGTAACCTAGGAGGCAACTTCAAATCAACCCCTCTGTTTTTGTAGATTACAGAAACTACTATCTACGTTGGTTGAGTTCTAACTGGTTTCAACACCATGGAACCCCCGAAATGCAGGAGTCCGCAATCTCAGCATCGATGAGACCCAGGTGTCCCAACAGCTCCTTTGCACCTCCTCGAGCGATGGCTGCCAAGGTCTTGCAGGTGCTTGCGCGGATTTTTGGGCGGCTGTCGCGGAGGGTACCTAGCAACCGTTCCACCACGCGAGCTACGGCACGGCCTTCACCGGCAGAGGCAATTGCGGTCAGTGCGTCCAGCGGTGCCATGAGTGAGGCGTTTGCGGCCTGTGTGGCCTCGAAACAATGCATGATGCTGGCCACGTCCCGGGCTATCATCGCGGCTTGGCCCTCTTCAGCGAGCACCCGGTACAAGGAAGAGACTTTGCGTTGCACTAAAATGTCCTCATCTTTCAGGCAGGGCAGCAAAGCGTAGGCATGCTGCGCGACGGCAACTGCCTGTTGGTTTTCGGCCAGCACTCGGAGCGTACCAAGGACCGCCAACTTCAGAGGCGCGGCTTCTTTGGCTTTCAGGCCTTCACCAATGTTGAAAGAGGCTTTGCGGCTCAGGACTAAAAAGAGACATTTACAGGGCCCAGGGCCCTAGAGCGATAGCCGCCCTTGAGAGGCCAAACGCGAAAGCGTGAAGGTTTCTGCCAAGCGTCAGTGCAGCAAGGGTCCCAGATTCTCGGAAATGGCCCAGGCCATGCGCTCACCGCGAGCCAAGGATGTCAAAGACTCTGCGGCCTTCACCCTGGCGTCGTCATCCTTGCCGAAGAGGACCTTCGCAGAATATCTTGAAGCAGGGGGGGTAAATGTTCACGCATCTCTTTGGCCAAGCTCAGACTCAGAAAGCAGCCGCGTGGAAAGTATGCCTTCTTGCAGCTTGGCATCTGCATGGAAGCTCTGAAGCTGCTTCTCTTCTGCTGGCGTCTTGTATAACTCCTGCACGCTTGATGCCTTCAGTCTAGTTAAGGCTCCAATAGGGCAGGATCATGGGTTCTCATTTCTGTGTTGGCAACAAAGGTTAATCATCATCCCCGCAACACGCGATTCTGCATTTTGCGGATTCTGAGGCATGGAAGGAGGCTGAGCTCTGAAAGGAGGTAGGTTGCAAGACGGGTAGCGACGGATGCCCAACTGGCAAGCACAGACCAACTTGCCAGAAGAACGCCTGTTTCTACCGACAAAGGGCAGAATTTCCGATTTCAGAAGGTCGTTGCCTGTCACAACCGTGCTTGCAGGTTTCATTGACAAGAGCCACCAGTGTCGAATTCAGAACAGCCACTTACCTGTCTGTCTGCAACAACCACACAGCCTGGACTCGCTGGCTGAGATGCTATCGCTGCATTCGTTATAAATATTGCTCAAGTCACTCGCATGTCACAGCAAGAACGCTGCAGGCATGGACCCTGGCTTCTTTTAGCACAGAAATTGCCAACGGGCCTAGTGTTTCAACAGCCCGGGGTTAGGAGGGAGAACAAACCGGGGTCATGTGAGGCGCGTAGAAAAACATGAAATACGCATAACTCTTAGCCAGGCGCATGTTCTGTGAATACAATCCTAGATAAACACTGAGCCTTCGATTTAGGCCTTTGCGCAGGCCACGCATGCTATTTGTCCCTACAAGCGAGCAATCCATTCATTTATTCAGAATGGCGAGAACAAGGGAGCGCGACGTGAGGTTCTTGGTTTCATCCCAGCTTGTGTGACCCCCATGTTTGCAGCTATCTTTGCCTGCCCCAAGAAAGTTTCCCCCCCAGTGTGTCAAGCAACTCGCTGGCTGGAACGTGGCCTTTGCTGTGACTGAACCTGTGTGAGAGGGACCGGGCCTTGGCCATGTACTTGACCTTGCTTCGGGCGCGCAGCCAGCGGCTGGGTGCCCCTGAGGCTGCCAGGACTTCTGTGGGGCCTGCACCGAGGGTCGCCATGGCGCCGAAGATTCCCCGAGCTGGAAAATCAGGCCGGAACCACTGATTGCCTCGCAATTTGAAACCCCTTCTCTCCACTGCCTCGCATACTTCCATCCCAAAATGCCCCAATCTAGTGCAAGACTTGGGCCAAAGGTGAGCATGTTTGACAGACTTTGTGGAAGGAGTGTGCCGTCTTTGGCATATACTCAGAAGCTTCACATGCCGAAGGCCGACTGTCCGGTGCCTCTTTCCTTCCTCCATGGCCTTGCGCTTCTCTGTGAGCTCACGCTGAGCCTTGAACAGCATGAGAAGATGCATTTTGTCCCTCAGTGCAGTTGCATGCATCATGGCTCGTATCTTCAACCCACCTTGTCCGCCTCTCTTGCATCCTCCGATACCACAAGCCTTGGCGCGAGATGCATGTCTGTCGGCTTTTGCCATGGCTCTGAAAAGGATCAAAAATTGATTGAATTATTTTAAATGTTTTTTTGGCTTTTGGTGTTTCCTTTGTCCCAGGAATACTGCAAATTGCAGCATTTGGAGCTCTTGAAAGGCTGCCAATACTGCAATTTACAACAGTAGCGGCTCCTGAAAGGCTACGCAAACTGCAAATAGCAGCATTTGGAGTTCTTGGAAACCTGCCGATATTGTAAATTACAACATTTGCGGTCTGGAAAAATTACGAGCACTGAAAATTGCGCCATTTAAAACTCTTGAAAGCCTGCCAATACTGCAAATTACAACATTTGCGGCTCTTGAAAGGTTACGAATACTGCAAATTGCGCCCTTTAGGGTTAAGGTTTTAAGCTCTTTGGGGTTTAGGGTTTTTAGGTTTAGGGTTCTTTGGGGTTTAGGGGATTTAGGGTTTAGGGTTTTCGGGGTTTAGGGCTTTAGGGTTTTTGTGGTTTAAGGTTCTGGGGCTTTTAAGGTGTTTAGGGTTTAGGGTTTTTAGGGCGTGTAAGGTGTTTAGGGTTTTGAGGGCTTAGGGTTTTTAGGGTATAGGGTTTGTAGGGTGTTTAGAGTTTAGGGTTTTGAGGGTTTAAGGTTTTGAGGGTTCAGGGTTTTTAGGGTTCAGGGTGGTTAGGGTGTTAGGGTTTGCAGGGGTTTCAAGTTTTTAGGGTTTAGGGTTGTCAGGGCTTTTTAGGGTTTCGGGTGTGTAGTGTTTAGGGTTTTCAAAGTTTCTCGATTTTAGAGTTTAAGGTGTTTTAGGGTTGAGGGTTTTAAAAGGGTTTAGGGCTTTCAGGGCCTAGGGCTTTTAGAGTTTGAGGTTTGTAGGGCCTTTAAGGTTTAGGATTTTTAGGGTTGAGGGTTTTCAGGGTTTAGGGTTTTAAGGTTGAGGCTGTCTAGGGTTTGGTTGTTTTAGGGCTTTCTAGGGCGTAGGGTTTTTAGGGTTTAGGGTTTTTAGAGCTTTTAGTGTTTAAGGCTTTTAGGGTTTAGTGTTTTTTGGTTTAAGGTTTTTATGGTTTAGGATTTTCAAGGTTTTAGGGTTTGTGGCTTTTAAGGTCTTTATTTTTGAGTGTTTGGGGTTCAGGGACTTTAGTGTTTCTAGTTTTTTTTGTTAAAGCCCCTCTTTTCCTCCCACATACAGTCGGAAACCCTAGGGTTTTTAGGGTTCGGGGGTTTCGGGTTTTGAGGGTTTAGTGTTTTAGGGCTTGGGGTGGATTAGGGCGTTTAGGGTTCAGGGTTTTTAGGGCTTGAGGAGTTTTAGGGTTTAAGGTTTTTAGGGTTTAAGGCTTTTAGTGCTTTGATTTTTTGGGTCTAGGGTTTGTGGGGTTGAGGGCTTAAGTGTTTTAGGGTTTAGGGTTTAAGGGTTTTAGGATTTAGTGCCTTTTTCAGGGTTGTAGGGTTTAGGGGTTTCAGGGGTTTTAAGGTTTAGGGTTTGTAGGGTTTAAAGTTTTTAGGGTTTAGGGTTGTCAGGTTTTTGTAGTGTTTAGGGTTTGTAGTGTTCAGGACTTTTAGGGTTTTTTAGAAATTGGGGTTTCTGGGGTTCAGGGTGTTCAGGGTTGCTATTTTTTTAAAAGAGATTTTAGGGTTTAGGCTGTCTAGAGTCTATGGTTTTTAGGGCTGAGTGTTTTTTTTTAAGGGTTTCGGGATTTTTAGGGTTTAGTGTTTTTAGGTGTTTCAAGTTTTTAAGCGTTTTTTTTGGTTTGATGTTTTTAGTGTTTTGAGGGCTTAGGGCTTTTGAGGTTGTTAAGGATTTGAATTTTTAGAGTAGCCCTTCAAGAGCCGCAAATGTTGTAATATGCAGCTCCAAATTCGGTTATTTGCAGTATTCATAGCCTCTCAAGAGCCACAAATATTGTAAATTGCAGCATCGGCAGCCTTTCGAGAACTCCAAATGCTGCAATTTGCAGTTTTCGTGGCCTTTCAAGAGCCGCAATGTAATTTGCAATTTTGGCAGCCTCTCAAAAGCTCCAAATGCCGCAATTTGCAGTATCCTAGGACAAAGAAAACACACAAAAAAATGTATAGAACAAAACACTAAAAATACCTAAAACATATGACTCCTTCTGAAAAGACGTCGCCGCCTGGGATGCTGACGTCATGTTTCCTCGAGAGCTTGTCTGAGGAACGCCGTAGGATCTTGGTCAACCAGTTTGGCAGCAGGTTAATTATAATTATTAATTACATTACTCTTTCCCACACGTTGCACGAGGGAGTGTTTTGGTGCATCCAGCCAGCTTTTGGGAATGCACCATCTGCGGGGCAATCTGCTTCATGAGTGTTGGGCTCTCATGCCTTTCTTTGGCATGCGACACCACTGCCCACGCTTGGCGGGAGAAGGGCCCAAATCAATGGCCAAAGACGAGGTCAAACAAGGCAACAGACTCCAGCTGACGCTGCAGGATAACTAGGTATGTCGATCAAGCAAGCTTTCCTTCATGTTCGCTGGCTTCTGAGCCATCAGCCTGGAGGTCGTCGGCGAGAGTGGCACCTGCAAGTAGCCAGCAGCAGCCATACATCCATCTTGTCTTTGGGGCTGAGCTAAGCGCTGTTGGAGTGCGGGCAAGGCCCCTTGGAGGCGCAGCAGGCCTCAGCACTCTTCAGCTTCTAAAAGCTGAAGTATAGCCAATGTTTTTGCAACACACTGCAAAGCAGGGCTACGGCATTCTGCAAACAGGTTCAGGATCTTTCGATGCCTGCAGACAGACTTGCGCAGGCCGCAGCAAATGCAAAAGCTGTGAGACAAGTCCCAATCCAACGAGGCCGGAGGCCTGGGGCGTTTCCGGAGACTAATAAAGTAAGTTAACCATCCGCCTACCTTTGAAATGCAGATTTTTCTGGGGATGGGAGGAGCCTTGGGGGGGGCAGCCTGGGTGGGGTGGGCCCTGCAAGGGCGCCCTTGCACCCATCCGGCCCAAATGGCTGCATCGTATGCTGCATGCTCTCTCGCCCTGACCACACTCGCCGAGGCGGTCTCACGTTAGCGATTAAATTGCAGCAGCTCAGCCTTATGCGTGGGCGAGTCGAAAGGCCGTACTCCTCCGGAACATCTAACAGACTCTAACACAGTAGATTTACCGTATTCTACCATGGTAGCCTGCCTCAAGGGGTCACACCAGGGAAGTTTTTTGCACTGGGTTCAGTGAAGGTAGATTGCCCAAGAGTTCAAGGACAGCATCAAACAAGTAGGTGAAAGCAAGAATGGTAACGGATGCGCTAAAAACGAAACCAACTTGCAACGGCTATGCAACAATTCCCATAACAACAAGTCCGTGTCCTTGTTGCCACGATGAGCCGCTGTCCTTGGAAGAGGCTCAGGGGTTGCACTTACCAAGCGTTTCAGCGCCCTCAGGACTCCAACATCTGGCCTGTGCTGACTTCCGGGGTCGGACGACACCTGGAGTGCCCACCTCCTGTCAGGCAAAAGTTACATTGATGATCATGTTCACGCATGTGATTCGCAGGCTGGAAAGCATGCAGGACTGCAGGGCCTCGTCGTCTGAGTCCTCTTCAATCGGCCTCTTCTTGCGGCGAGGGTCGATCACAGTCTCGGCAAGGTCAGCAGGCTTTCCGAAATCTATGGCAGCATGGACTCTGCAGGCATTCTTCGATTAAGAAAACCCATATTGGGCCTTAGGAGAAAGCCCCGAGAAGGGCCCTCTGCTCTCAGCAAGAATCAAAGACCAAGCTCCAATCCACCTTGCGGCTGGGCATCTCGGTCTTCTCCTGCTTGGGCAATCTCAACGTCTCCATCCGGTGCATGCGGTGGGATAAACATCAACTGTCTGGGATGCCTCAGCTGGGACGAAATTGATGGGTTCGCGCTTTGGAGGCTCCTCCGCGGCTGCCTTGCACCATCATCAAGAAACTATGCAACCACTTGACAGTGGAAGCAAGACTTTTTCAAACAGGAAGGGCCAAGTGTCCACAGGCATGTTTCCACAATCCACATGCCGCGCCTCTGTTGGGGCTGCCTTGGGCTCTGTGCCCATAATGAGCTCACGCCTGCCCCGTAACAGACATCACCACAGCGTTGGATCCAGCAGCCAGGCAGACCGAGAAGGCAACTTGAGAAGCCACGACTGGCTGATGAATGCTTCGACATCTCAAGGGTAAGACTTCCGGTTAGGTGGGGATGTCGGCGTATCAATGGAAACACTTCTGGGTAGGCAAGGTATGTAGAAGCTAAAGCAAGTCGCAAGCCTGGCTTGACCAGCGACTTGTGAACTTCCAATCTGACAGTGCCAGTGCAATGTAAGAGCACTTCTCCGGGAGCCAGAACTGGGGGATGTACGCCACCGCGCGTGTCAAGATCGTTCTTCACCTTCTTCCTTCGATCCCTCAGTCAGCAGAAAAGCATTGCGTCTGTGAGGGTCATCACGAAACTACTTCTTAGACAAGCTGCGAAGTCAGCTCACCACGGGCTTCTGCCTGAACAAGTGTCCACATGAGCTCACATAGTGAAGTCCAGGCATCCAAGGAGGTTTCGTGGCCTCAGCCTTCGCCTTGAGTCTCTCAAATGCTGACTCAAAGACTTTGCTCGCTGATGGGTCCGGACCTGAACAGCATAGTGCGAAACACAGCACTGCGTGATGCATAGAGGCACAAATAGACAACCTCTCTGCTTTGCCTGAATAGCTTGAGCTTCCCGAGCCGGCTGGCTGTGCAGGCTTTTTGGGTTGCGGAGAAGGTGGCACCTCAAAGCAAAGGTAGCTATGATGAACCTTCTGATTGGCATGCGAGGTGGCTTGCGGCGGCTTGCCTCGTCTTGCACTTTGGCGGAGACATCGCTGATGGGCTCGCTAATGATGCGTTCCAACCGCTGAAGATTTTGAGGGCGGATCGCTATCTGACCTCCAAGTTGCATCATGTTGAGCAATACATTCAGCTCGCTACCCACCAAGTAAAAGCTTGCGCTGAGATTAGAACTTCCGCTTTCCAACTTCAACACAATCCGTCCGGGCCTAGGAGCATGTAGCAACTACTTCCAAGCTCCCATGCTTTGCTCTGCTTGAGAGCTGTTGAAACAGAAACCTTGCCTGGGCACTGGACTGGGAGGGATCTGCAACTCTGAGAACCTCTGCCGAGCACCCATTGAGGTCCGGCCTGCGAGATGAAACGTCTGATCTTTCGAGATACTTCTCGCTGAAGGAGGCTGGCCTCTTCTCCAGGCCGTGCAAGGTGACTGCGTCGCCCTCCTGCACCATCAAATCTCAGTTTTTGGACTCGTGTACTAGCACAGCCCAGAAGAACAAACTCCTGAAAACCGCTTCCATGCTCTGCCTGGCTGATTCGTGGATCGGCAGGCCTCGAGTGACAAATGCAGGGTGACTTGCGAGCGAGCGAGATGCCCAAACGCAGCTGATGCGTGCTTGGTGGCTCCAAGGCGCTGGAGGTGTAGCTGTTCTGTCACCGTAACGCCCATGGTTAGCCGACCGATTCGCAAGGGAGCATACAGCCGGCCATGTTCGTAAGCAGCAGTCAAGACACAAAGCAGACTTTGATACAAACGGACTCTTGGATTCAGGCTTGTCCTCCTTCGAGGCCTGTATCGAACTAACGTTTATTGCGTCGACCCAACAGTGATCTCAATTGGTCGGTTCCAAAGCCTGGTCCAGCCAGGAGAAGAAATCCTGCAGCTGCTGTTAGAATCGTGTCAGGGCAGTTCTCAGACTCCAACCCCCGCCTGCAAATCACTCTGCTTCACGGATGCAGGTAAGTGAGGCGAAAGCTTCTCTCCTTCATGGCGCAGCATTGCAGCAAGTTCAGCAAACCTATTCCAGTTGGCATATTACGAGTACGGTCTAGTCTGTCTGTTTGGGGTGTCAGCATGCCTGTTTGGTCTCCATGGCACCCACAAGTCAAAGCTATGGAGGTTACTCATGCTCGATCGCCAGGAATGTAGCTTTTGTGTCACAGGCGCCCTGGCAGCTGGAACTTGCCTGAACCTTTTTGCTGGGGCTCGCAGGCAGGCGGATCCAGGTGGTCGGGTGCTCAATCCTCACATTGTCCAAATTCTGCAGCTGTCAGGAATACGAATGGAGAATAAGAATACCGAGAAACCAAGTTTGATCCGCATCCGGCAGCCTCATGGCCAAGTAGCTTGCTTTTGTAAAGCCGGGATGCTCTCGATGCCAGGTGGACAAATAAGGCGTTCTGTTCCAGGGCGCAACTTTCGAAGGCCAGCTGACTCAGAGGACGCACGGCCCTTGACCGGAGGGGCGCCGTTTCATTGTCAGCTATACGTGGGGCGGGGCCCCTGGAGCTCATGAACCTTCATGGCTAGGTGGCTAGGTCTCCATTGCTGAAGCCTCAATGGATTGATACTCTTGTAGGTGGCGCTGCATAAGCAAAAAGATGTGGTAGCGTGCGTCATGGAATGCCTTGAGCATTTTGTCCAGCTGCGGCTCGACAGTGAGGTCCAGCTGCTGCATTGCTTCCATTGCATCTTCCACAGTGGCAAACTGCTTCGCGGCAGTGGCGGCCAACATTGCGCTGCCCCGAATCACGTCAGCACTTGGGCACTTGGTACAGTGCAGGGGCAGGTTCAGGACATTGGCATGCTCCTGCAAGTACAAAGAGTTTTGAGCCAAGCCGCCGCAAACGTGGATCGCAGAAATGCCGACAATTCCAGCTTCTGCTCGAGCGGAGTTCATGGCTTCGATTATTGCGCGCGATGAGTACGCAAGGGCTTGGATTGTGGCAAGATAGAGTACAGCCAGAGCATCAATGGATGTAGCTCGCTTTGCGTCCCCAGCCGGTCCTAGTCCCAGAACGCTGCCTCGGAGGTTGGGGTCTGCAAGCGGCGATCGGTTCCCACTGAAGTCAGGTCCAACAAACAAACCACGCGTGAGGGTGGCTACGTACTCTAGGCCCTGCAGCTGCGCCAGAGACCTGACATGGCCGTTGAGAAACTCTGCTGCATTGCAGGAGGCTGCCTTGGCCCTCTCTTGAAGCTCCGGATAGGCAGCGTGCGACTCGATCACGAAGTCTAGCGCTGCACCTGCAGCACTTTGCCCTGCCTCGTTCAGGAAGAGGCCTGGGATCATGGCTGAGTCGTATGGACCCCAAATACCAGGCATATTGATGGCCAGCTTGCTTGATGCCATGTGACAAGCAGATGTTCCTGCAATCATAGCCATGCGGCCCTCCAGCGGCACTGGGCTTGCAGAGGCCCCCAGGCAGCCAATGCCACCAGCGTGAGCATCAATGGCACCCACTCCAAGGGTGGTTCCTGGAGCAAGTCCCAACTCTTGGGCAGCCAGTGTCCCCAGACCCCCTGCTACTGCACTGCCAACATGCTGCACATCCTGAGGCATGCCAATCCTCGCCATCTGCAAATCGGACAGCTGCGCAGACTTCAGAAAATCGCTGTCCCAGCTTTGTTTTGCAGCATTGAAGTTCCATTTGCAAACCACGGTGCACAAGCTCCTGATACCTGCACCACTCCCCTGACAGTCTCTAAAGTCTGAAGCTCGATGCAGCAGATAGTCTTGCAAGTCATAGAACCTCAGAGCTTCCGCGAACGTCTTGGGCTTGTACTTTCTTAGCCAAGCCAGCTTTGGCATTTCCATCTCAGGTGAGATTTTGCCACCAACAAATTGAAGGAGGGGATGGTTGGCCGCATTGATCATCTCTGCCTCTTTTACGGCGCGATGGTCGCACCATAAGATCACGTCATAAGTTCGATCGCCCACAGGTTGAGGCTTGTCTGGACTGTCTGTCAGATCTGCTCCAACAGCCAGTGGATAGCTGACCCCTGTAACCACCAGAGAGCACGTCGCATCAAACGCAACTCCTGCAACTTGCACATCTCCAGCAGCTTCTGTTGCCTGGGACACTGCCTCACGGACCGCTTTGCAACATGCATGCCAAATCTCGTCTGAGCTTTGTTCAAAATGACCGGGGCAAGGCTGACGTGTTGAAATTCCACATGTCGCCATTCCTAGCAGTCTGCCTTCCTTGTCAAACACCCCCGCCCGCGTGCTGCTCGTACCGACATCCACACCCACGAAACACTTGCTTGGCTCCATGGGCATGGTGATAGACAGCACCGAGTGGGGGGTTGTCTTGATCTAGGACTGCAGGAGGGTGGTCCCTGTACCAAGTGTATTCACAAGCATGCATTCTTAACTCTTCAACAACGGCTGGGGTGCGAACTCCATTCCGGCTGATTCAAGGACTGCTTTGAGGCCAGCTGGGCACAAACAATGCCGACGAGCACCTTGGCATGGTTTCTTGTCCCAGTCGGGTTTCTTACGGCTGCAGCAATATGCTGGGCTGCACGCAGGCAAAGAACCGCTGTCTTCGCCCACAACCTGGCGCATTCAGGCTTCACAGTGGCCGTCATTGAGGATTATGAGAACTCTCTTGTCTGTTGCTGATTTTACACCAGATGGCAGAAGAGAGCCGAGACAGGCTTGGCCTTGCGCAGTTGCTCGGTGATCTTTGCCTGTCAGACGGCGACATGCCGTGCATGGTGCCAGGTCGAGAGGGATCTGGACAACTGGCCGGGTCAGGTGTTTCAGAGGCAACCTGTCTTTGTCCCGATAGGTCGCGTTTTCCGCCAAAGAAAACTATGCGAAGTCCTAACTCTAAGGTGGACCCTCTTTGGTCAAGCTTGCTTCAGCAGTCTCCACCCAGCCTTGAAGACCGAATGTTTTTAAGATGCTTATACGGATCTTGCAGCCCAAGCACCGGCTCCAGCGCAGAAGGCGAGCTTGAATTGCTTGCAACTCCTGGGACACATAATACCAGTGTCACATTGCCCGACTCCTGTTCAGAAAGCCTGTGCCAGTAGCTCTTTGCAAAAGAGGTTGCAAGCAGAATTACGGACCCTGCGAGCCTTTTGAGGGACAATAGTGCCATTGTTTGAGATCAGCAGTTCTCGAAGAATTTGCCAAACAGGGCGATAGTGTGTTCACGTCCCAATTGGAGTATACTTAGTCGTGCTAGCTGTTCTGAGCCGCCGCTTAGACATGAAGATCACAGCATATTCGAATGTTTTGTCAGTATGCGAGCAAGCAGCCATTCGAAGTGATCGAGACCGAGACCTGCCAACACTGGCCGAGCACACTTTGAGTGATGATTTCAATAATGGCACCTGCCGCTCGACGCCAGCGGTGCTAGCGCCTGCATCAGCACAGCAAACAGATTTTGGCGTATCCAAAACATTAGTGGGGACCTAATAAGGGACCATAGTTTTGACAACCTGGGGCCAACTCAAGAAATTGTCACCAGTGCGGCCTTTGCCCCTGTCTGGGCTGCGACTTCGATCCCGCAGGTTCTCTTTAGCCGGGCTCCTGAAAACTCCAACTCAAAAGCATGGTCCGCGCTTCTCTCATAGTGAAGGATCTTGTTTGCTTTGGCTGGGTTTTGTTGGAAACTTTTTGGGGGCGCTGCGAGGTCCTCAACGAAACGGGTTGATAATCGTCATCACCGTAACCGTAACACGTTAGCAATGCGGAAAGGGACAGCCGCAATTTGCGCAACTGCGATGCTGCTAGTTGTACTACTTCTAGTACTAGTACTCATGGTAGTACTGGTGCTAGTGCTAGTACTCGTAGTGGTACTGATACTGCTAGTGCCACTTAATATTACTTATACTTGGTAGTAGCAATCGTCAGTAGTAGTCGTCGTAGTAGTAGTAGTGGTAGTAGTAGTAATGGCAGTGGTAGTGGAAAGCAGCAATAAGAGCATTCAGCACAATCATCGTAGTACTCGTATCCATACGGAAGGAACTTCTGGTAGCCAAAGTGCTCAATAGCACGAAGGGCAAAGCTGCAGTCAAACTCCTACAGGGGTAGGGGTGTAGTGCCCACAAGTAATAATCGCAATTGATGACCGTGCGAGTTGCAGTGGCAAGCGCAGCAAGAGGAGTGGTGCAACCCTAGGACCTCGTGATGCTACTGGCGGCTCTTGGTGCTGGTGAAAGTTGCAGTAACCCTCACTGTACCAATCTTGGGTATTCAACAGTATCATAGACGAAAAGACACTGGTAGTCAGCTGTACGTAATTGCAGCTGCAATAGCATGGTTCATGGTAGCTGGTAGCAGCAGCGCTGATAACATCCAGAATTTCCAGTAGAACTATAGGTCCTAATCCAAATCGCAACAGAATGCAGCCTACTTTGCTTGCTTCCATGGATTGAAATGTTCTTTGATGTCTCTTATCTGTTTTCTTTCCTTCCTTCTTCTTCTGGCTCTACCCACCCCCTAGAGAGCAGGTTGGGGCTACGCCCCACAGCCGCGCACATGTCCAGTTGTTTAGTCGGGCACAGGTGAGGGCCGGGATACCGTCACAGGTGACCCACGTTCCTCACAGCATCCCACGGCTCAACGACTTCCATGTTTTCATCCTTCCTTTCTCCCTTTCTCGCTTGCTTGCTGCGAGTTTGCTGCCTGAACCGAATAGTGGTTCAAAAGCCGGTCGTTTTCCTGTGGAATTGCTCTGAGCCTCCCATACATTTCCCGTCGCCGCGCCTACCAAACCAAAAACGTCATCCATCCACACCCCATCCGAAAAAACAACACCATTGATGCCAGGCTAACGAGTCGGCTAAGGTCATTCGTTTTTAGCCTGCACAGCAGCTCCTGCTGTCATGTTGCTGGATGGGCTCTACCATTTCGCACCTGCAACTCACAGGTTTCTGTCACCACGCTCGTCCTGCTGTGCCAAGCCTCCACCTGCTGCTTCCGGTGCCAGGGCGAACATTTCTAGCCGATGTTCCGGTGCAGTAGCTGTTAATGCTGCTAGAGATATGTGCTTGTGAAGACGAGTCCGCTGGAAGGTCTGCTTTATGTTGTTCAAACAAACTGCTTTTTTATTGACAAAAAGCCGTGTTGGGCATGCAGGACCAGCAACTTGAAAGGGCCTAAGGCTGCGGAACGTTGTGAGCAATCTGAGGCTCTATGAAGTGCACAGACATGGTTAGGAAAGTAGGCCAGTACTTGAGGTGCCATTCAACTCGACTACTCTGCATCTCTACATTTTGCCTTGGACGCTGGATGTGAAAATTGCTCTGTACAGTGACCGCAGCGTTGAAAACTGTTGAAACAGGGTGGCTCTGGCCTTAAGCTCGGTGGCTCAGCAGCCCAGCTTCGAATGTACATGGGGCATACATGCAGATCGACGAGCTGCTTCACATCTGTTTGTGCGACAGTATCTAGCAAAATCTGCTGAACAGCACAGACTGATTAGGCACCCTCAGCACGGGTTTCCCTGTTCACGAATCTGTCCTCCATGCCATCCTGCAGGCCCAGCACGTGGCCGTATTCTGTCAGTTTCACGTATGGACCTATGGTCTGTTCATTTGCGGCTCTGCTGTGCTTTCAATGCGGCATCCAGTCTCCTGGCCCAGCCTCAGCTCTTGGCGTTTGCCAAGGACGCGGTAGCGGTTCTGAGCCAGCTCGCTAGGAACCGCAGCAGATATCAGCAGACTCCATGGGTCTATGGCTCAAATTATCACCGTTGCATGTTGGCCTTTGCAACAACATTGTACGCCCCATCTCGCAGTGGCTTCGGCAATAATGCCTGCGCAGCCTCGCAGAGGACCGCACACGAATCTTTACACAAACCTGTCATTCCATCTGCAGAGGCAGAAGGCCTTGCTCAAACCCTGCAGCACGCTGCTGCCTTCCAGCTGCTGGCCTACCTGCACTGCAATCTCTGCGCAGTGTTTCGTTGTAACTCGATCAATTCTTGGCTCAGGAAGCGGCAAAGACAACAGCATCGGACTGAGACAGGCATTCTCCATTTGGCTTTATGACCATCATCGAACTAAGGTCCTCACCATGTCCAATGCACGGTACACTACCTGTGCAATCGCCATCCAACCTGCTTCTAGATTCCCTGTCCTCAGCCCGTCGGCCACAGAAGACCAGCAACTGCTGGCCGACTTCTGACTGCAACGCAGAGAAGCGCAACCGCCGACCGTCTGGATCCTGCGTGTGCTCAGATAGGAAGGATTCTTTCCGCAAGCCTTGCCCCGCCTTCTGCAAGGCTACGTCAACAGCGCTGTTGCACATGTTGCAGACACCTGACTATGGGACCCCTGACTCCTGCAAGGTGCTAAATGACAGCGAAGATCCGCATTTGATTGAAGTTGTGCCGGAAGCACCATCATAAAGGACAATGGGTCGATCATCACCTTGGAAAAGCTCGATGAAAGCTGCCTTAGCCTCAGAGACACGCCAACAGCTTGTTTTTTGCATCCACTGCAAGTTGCAGAGCGACTGCTTATGACTGCATGGCCAAGGAACGCTCTCAGCAGAGGCACCAGCAGACCGGGCCAGTAGGCTTGAACGAGATGGCAAGATGCCCACGAAGGCTCTCCCGCAAAGCAGCGCGGTGATGGCACCAACGACCACAGAGCCAATGGGTAGGCGTACCCTTCCTCTTTCAGCCATGGCTTGTAAGCTCTGAATCCAGCTGTTCAGTGGCTGGCTGGGGTGATGAAATTCCAACCTGCTCTTGATTGCTTGGGTTGGATGAAGCAATTTGCTGGCATGTCCGAGAAACCGTCAGCGAGTCCAAAAGTGGTTCAAGGTCTGGCCCGACTACGCGGCTTGCCTTTCGGGACTGTGCATGCTTGCGCACCCTCATCAAAGCCTGTCGAAGCTGGGGATCCAACTTGCATTCTGCTTTTCCATGGCATGCTGCACCTAACTTTCCCTAATGCATGCTGCACAGCCATCGGCGCACCATGTACACTTTTCGCAGCCGAAACAACCGCGAGAGCTGCCAGAACGCTTGAAACACATGAGCCCATTTTGAACTCTCTGGTCTTTGGGGCTCAGACCCATGAACTCCAAACCCGCTTTGGATTCGCGACTCCATGAGTGGCTAAAATCACGTTAAGGAGGCTTTGCAGCCTCCCAGATCCATCGTCAATCCACATCTACACAGCCTGCCACGCGATCTGCATGCTGCATGGCCCATGTGCCAATGTGCCCATGAACCCCCAAGTTTCTTGGAAAGCCTCCAACGCCCTCCACGCCAAAGAGCTTTGGACAATGCATGCCCTTAGCTCACATGTGGGACTTCGCATTGCAGTAACTGGCACTTTGCACCTGCCTTCTCAGGCATCTCGAAGACTGCAGCTTCAACAGCTGCCTGTGACAGGGCTGCCACTAAGAGTTTTGCACTGCTCCCTTGCCAAATTGGGGCGCGCCGTCTCTTCTTCCAGGAATTTGGCCAGCGCCTACCACAGCAGAGAACAACCAATTGCAACGCAGATTGAAATGCCACCCTTGATCGCAAACAGTTGCTAAAACGCTGGCCTCCGATGCATCTTCTAGCGCAAGCCTTGCCAGCTGAAGTTTCTGGTTTGCAAAGCCTCTGAGCACCAATGCCGTTTCATATGCTGAGGTCATAGCAGCGACATGAGGCGGCCCCGCTTTGCCTCGAAGTAGGCCTCTTGGCAACAGGCCGGGCGCTGAAAAGCCTCCAAAACGACAGTCTTGCGGGGATGCAAAACGTGCCTGGGCCTTCTCCTTGTACCAAGTTTTGACCTGTCAAAGGCACATTCTCGGGAGCTGGGGTGAAGTGATGGTGAAGTTGCTGCCTTCGCACCAAGGTTGAGGTACTTGAAAAGACACTGGCGGTTCTCGATGCTTTCCAGCCTGATATCATTATTGGAGCCTACAACTCTTGCTCAGGCTGCATCATGGCGCCCGGCCAACTCATCATGCGCTCAGCAATGGCAAGAACCAGGCCCTGCCCAATAGGCTGTTTACCAAAAACATATGTTGGCTCGCCCTTTCTGACGACACTTCTGAGATGAAGTCAACACTAATGAGCAACTCTATAGCACTTTCGGCTTCTCATCGTGGGGAATGTGCATACAGCAACATTGAGAAGTCTGGCAAAGGAAGCAGTGTGGCATCGTCCACAGTGAAACGGAGCAGAGAGGGCAAATTGGCGTCGTCTTCCCGTCTTGGTAGGATGGGATCTTCACCAAATATGACATGCCAAAGAAACTCCTCAGCTGCTTGATCTTTGCTCAGTATGACAGTCTGAGAACATGCCGGTTTGAAAGCCACTGCAAAAGCCTGAACAAATCTGAATGAGCACAGCACAATGACATAATGAAGCGAAGGGCTGCCTTGTAAATGCTGCCGGGCGGCGTACAAGTGGCAGAAACGGATTTGAAAGGATCGCTGCCTAGTTGAAGGCACGGAAGGAAGACTGTGCGAATTGGGAGCGTGGACGCAGCCCTCCAGCGATTCCACCGTGCCGGTCAGGAGATCCTGTGCTGCCTGATAGAAAGCCAAGGTGCGTTCCCGAATCCGATCTTTATGCACGACGAACTGGGAGCAACAGTAGGATGCAAACATTTTATTTGCCGGTAGCCCGAGGAGTTCAGCAATTGAAGCCAGGCACGGCGTCCAGTACATCAGGTGACGATCGTTGTTGAGGTGCACGAAGGGACGCCGCGCCGATGCTGACAGTGTGCCAGCCAAAATCATCTTTAGTACCAGGTTCAAGTAGCCCAAATGCAAGTGGCGAGGCGCATCATCCTGCAGAAAAACGCTCCACTCCGCAAGCTCGCTGTATTGCCGAAGTATGTGGTACAAGTATCCTCCACACTCATCGCTCTGAACTGCACCCTGGGCAGAGTCCTCCCTGTCCAAATGCCAGGAAGGAATGCACTTTGCTCTCTGGCAAACGGGGCTGGACTGTGCTTCCTTGCATTTTACATAAATCAAGATTTGCATGTTGGAGGTTACAGGAAGCACGTCAACCCACGTGAGGTCGCGCTTGCAAGCAACAATAATGACATCAACTCGCTCCTTCGCAGCATATCCTAATTTCTGGATCGTGCGTCGGACCTTCAAGGATTGAGCATTGGCCGCAGATACCGGCCATGTCCGCATCATTACGCGATAATGGTCTGCCTCAAATGTGCCATTCTTCGTCTTCAGGTGACGCAAGATTTGAAGGGCACGGTCTCTGTAGCGCTGCCCGAGAAGGTCGTGAGGGTTCAGAGTGAATCGGAATTCAGAATGAAGAAACAGGGACGTGATGAACATACCCGGGCATATCTCGACAATTTCTTGTTGCTCCTCCTCGCCCGCTAAAGACGTGATCCACAAGACTTCTTCTATGGGCGGTGACAGGGTTCGCTGAGGCACACCTTCGTAAAACGCCAAAAGCTTCTCTTGCAAATCATGGGCCAAGATCCATGCTTGAAAGCACTGAACACCAGTCAACACCTGATCCTCCAGGGAATTCAAGGCTTTCCGGCTTGTAATATTTGCGTAACGATTGCTCCTTCGCCAGGCATTGTCATGGCCGCTTGGACATAATGTGATTGCTGTACGGAAGTTCCACAAGCATCCCAAATAATGTTCTCTGGCTACGTAGCCATGCTGACTGATGTCGGACTGAAAAGTGACAGCTGCGCGGGCAGTTCGTCTCCACCAAAAGAACCAGACAGCAATCTTCTGCTGGATGCACCAGCGCATGCAATCTAGTGCCACCGGTAGCGGCAAGCATGTTAGAGTCGCACAACGCGCGCGTGTGAGTTGCAGAGTTGGGCTGTTGCGCTACTAAGGCAGCATGTAGCAGCAAACGAAGTCCCAAGGTTGCATGTGCAAGCACCTTGTATCTGACATGTCTTGCTTACAAGCATATGCTGACACTGGTCGGCCTCATCCAGATTTTCCAGGGGCTCAATACTCCTGGCATGATGGGCTTCAAGCTTTGAGAGAGTTCCCAGCTGAAAGACATGCCAGCAAAGCCCCTGCACGAGGAGGCTTCGCTCTTCCTCTTCTCTGCGCTGGCGCTCTGACTCCTTGCACCTCGACACAAACATACACAAACATCCGCAGCCAGGACCAGGACATCCCAGCAGAGGCAGCAAAGCTCCGCTGGTCCGCTGGGCGTCTCGCTCGTAGGATGCAAGCTGCGCTGCTTCAAGCTGAGCGTTAGCCTCCGCAGATCACAGAAATCCTCTTCTTCAAAGCTTTCAAGTGGTGGTACAAGTAGCAGTTTCACAATGCCAGCTTTTCGAGCACCTAGCGCAGGACTGTTCAGTCACATTGACCTTCAGATCAATTTAAGATGAACAGGGCTGTAGAATTGAGCCAGGGCATACCGCAGCCATCTTGCTACGATATTGGCACAAAACATTGGTGAGACGAGAACAAGCATCGTTGGGTCATTTCCATCCTCGCTGTCGAGTGCAGTGAGTTCTGAATTATGCCACTTGTCAGCTTGGTCTGATTTCTGTAATGCTGGCTGCCCGAAGTCTGCCGGACGACCTTCAACTGTGAATGCTGACGCAGCGCTTCCTAGTAATTACGATAGATGCAAGTCTTAATTCATAACTTATGGTTCTAAAGGGCTACCCAAACTGCGTCGGAACGCTTTTATCAACCCTCCAAGCTCCGCACCAGGAACCGAGCTACTCCACCACGTGAGCTCACGCGGAATTCGCCTGCCAGGACAAATCCTTTGAGCGTGCCTCTAGACAAGGGATGGTTCAGGATACAACAGTGGAGTCTTCGCCCTGCCCAGCCTTGTCCTTGTTAGCTCCACCCATCATGAACATGCGTTGCCTCTGGCCATCAGCTGTCAGCCCCACAAGCTTACTGCCTTTGTTTTTGATGTAGCCTGGCTTCTTCCGCATGTTTTAGCTAAAGCTGACCAAGTTTCAATGAAAGACACACTTCCTCCTGGACAGTGACCCTGGAGCATGGCCTGCTTAGCAATTGCTTTGTGAGGCTGAGGCTAGCGCAAAAGCAGGTTGCTGAGCAAGCAAGGAAGCTTTTCTTCCTCCAGACCGCCAGTGCCCGCCCCCATCTCAAGCAGATAGGAGCACAAATCGTGCTTCCCTGCACGTGCACCCACAACCAAGGGGGTTTCATCATCTGTGTTGCGTACGTTGACTCCCGCACCATGTGTAACGAGAAGCATTGCGATTTGCAGATGCCCAGCACGGGCGGCCATGTGAAGAGGAGTCTCATCCCACGCCTCTTGGGCATTTGGATTTGCCCCCTTCTGAAGCAAGCAACGGGCATCCTCTAGCGAACCTGCATGTGCCGCTACGTGGAGCTTTGTGCAGCCAAAGGCATCGGTGCCTTCTACCTCCACCTCGGGCTTGGCCTCCTCCTGGCTCGCGAAGCTCGCGAATGTGCGGATAATACGCCGCACCCTGCAGGTTAGCCCGAAGCCTGCGCACATCACCAGCAGGACAAGAATATCCGGCACTGGCGTCGGTAGTTCAGTGAGGCTCGGAATCTGGAAGTTCACTATGGCCACGCTAGCGACGCTAGCTCTGAAGCTGGAAAGGTCTGAAGGAGCCTCTTGGTCGTCCGACTCTTGGATCTCCTCTTGCAGTAACCATTCCTCTGTGGCTTCTTGCAGAGATAGAGGTGCTTCTGCAATGAGCGCCTTCAGCCCAGCATTGTGGCCGGCGGTCTTATCGGCAGTGGTGAACTGTGTGACGGCGACCAGCGAAAAAAGAGATGCCAGAAGAACCGCCATCTGAAAGCACGGTGCTCTTTCACCTGCTTTGATGTCTACTTTTCAAAGGTAGACTTTCAAGTCGGCAGAAGCGCAAGAACTGCTGAGGGGCTGCAGACAATCCTTTGCTTCGCCGCCGACGGAATTTACGAAGGGTGTGCACGGTAAGCAGAGGGGTGTCTGCTTGAATACGCCCCACTCGCTTGCTAGCCAAATGCCACGGGGTGGCCAAGCGAATGCACTGCACGTGAAATATGCAGCCATGCAGCATTCTCATACTTATGCTCAGGTTTCTGCCGGCATGGCAAGGTCCTAGCATTGGGCCTCTTCTTCCTCGTTGTCATCTTGACTGGTCTGGTCGGCTTGCGCCCTAAGCTGATGAGACGTGCTTCTGGCAAAGGGCACCCTCTGACACCGTCTGCAAGCTGGATGCGAACTAAGCCCGCAGCTGCTCGCGCTGTTCGTGAAACATCTGACGCAAATCCGACGTTGCTGAGGACGTGCCTGCCTGCACCTGCAGCTAGAGCACACGCTGGCACAAGCGTGCTTCTGAGCTTTCCTGCCTTCTCGGATGGAATCTGCAGGTTTGTCTCTTCATCCGGCTCCTGCGGTAAAACAAACAACCATTCATTCACAATAACATATGCAGAGTTCCTCAGTCTTGACTGTTGTGAAGCCGAATCGAAGCCGTAATGTGATTTCCTGAGCTTACGCAGCGCTCTTTGCCTCAGAACACGTACAGAGACAAGTGTCGGATCTGCTTTTGCCATGGCCATCCATGCTAGCCGACACTTTGGCCGGTCAGCAGTCACAGCTGCACCTTCACAACAACTGTTGCCAGAACTCTCCAGCCTGCTCAGTTGTGCAGCTTTCATGACTTAGTCTTGGCTTGCAGGTAGCAAGGAGGGTGGTAGGCCCTCTGGCTCTGAGGCCTTTCCCGCCGGCAGTGTGTATTTGTAGCACACACCATCTTTCACCACAATTCGAACCCGATCTCGCTTGAGACAACTGATGTTATCTAGAGGATCACCATCCAGCACTATGATATCTGCGTATGCATCTTTGGCAATGATCCCAAGTGGGCCATCCCTGTAAGGATTCATTCCTCCACTCCATGCCAGCACCTTCCCTGCATCGCCTGTTGCAGTGCGCAAGGCCTGGGCCGCGGAAAACCCTGCCAAGGTCACCAGTGTGATGATGTTGTCTGCCTGTCGATGCTTCACAGATTCAGAGAACATGTCCCCTCCAGAGATCGTCACTGGCTTGTATTTTCGGGCGAACTCCATCATCTTCTTAGCACCTGTAGCCACAGTTGCCGCTTTTTTCTTCTGATCCTTGGTAAAGATGGTGATCTTTTCTGGCTCAGCGAAAGCCTCCAAAGACATGCAGGACTGGAGGCTTATGGCAGCTCCTTCATCTGCAATCCGCTTCATGGTCGGCTCCGACATCAGGAATCCATGCTCAATGCAACGCACGCCAGCGTCGAGGCATCTGTTGATGGAGTCGTCATGATAGGCATGGGCCATGACATAGGTCCCGTAGTCTCTTGCCACATCGACAGCTGCGCGCATCTCGTCTTCTGTGAACTGAGTCACATGGATGGGGTCAAAAGCACTGGCACAACCGCCACCAGCCATAATCTTCAACTGCGTGGCTCCGTTGCGCAAGTTATTTCTGGCGGCCTTCAGCATCTCGGGCCTTCCATCCACAATATGGGAGAAGCCATTTCTCTCCAAAGCATCAGCATCGCCAGGCTGGTCAAAGCAGCAGCCAGTGTCACCATGGCCTCCTGTTTGGCTGAGGAATGCCCCACACGCAAAGATCCGCGGGCCTGGGATCCGCCCAGCATTTATCGCACGCGCCATGCCAAGCACGTTGCCCCCAGCATCACGGCATGTGGTGAAGCCTTGCAAAAGATAGTCGATGCAATCCTGCCCACACATGGCACCCATTGCCATCTGATCAAACTCATCGCGGCCCTCTAGCATACCCTCCTGAATTGCAAGGTGGCTGTGCATATCAATCAGTCCAGGCATAAGGGTGTGACCGGTGCAGTCTACACTGACTGCCCCCCAGTTGTCTGGACTGATGTTTTCCCCGATGTCCTGGATCAGGTTGCCAACCACAAGAACATCCTGCGGATCGGATAGAGCATCTGAGAGACCATCCCAAATACGTGCATTCTTGAAGAGGATCGGCTTCTTGCGCTTCTCCGGCCTAAAGGCCGGGAAGAACTCGGGCATTTTAAATGAACCCTACCCTTCTGGACCAAGAAAAGCTGAGGAGAGCAAAAGGTTTCTGCATGTTTCCGCTGCTGCCGGCCCTTGCAGTCATCCTGACTTAGCTCCCCGCATCCTCGGCTTCCTGGTGGATTGCACTGCTCTGGACTGAGACCGCAGAGACGTGTTCTTCTTATGGCCCATATGCAACTCCCTGAACAGAAGGCACGAGCGGCGGCTAAGCAGGGATTTACCTAACAAACACAAGACACTAGCTGTTTAGGTCTCAAGTGCGGTTGCGGGCCTTCCCTTTTACAGCCAAATGCCTTTCATAAATGCATGGAATGCTCCTTTTTCTGCCAGGCAATCTTTCTTCTGCCAGGCTTGGGACTCTGAAGCATGCATCGCGCTGGAGGCCATCAGTCGTGAAGGTTCCAGAACTGCTTCCAGAGAGAGCCGCGCGTTGCAGGAGCGTCGGGATCCACGACAGGATCGCCCTGCTTGACGTCGGGAATGAAGTGGAAGAGCGCCAGCACTGTGACAATTGGCATTAAGGAAGCTATCAAAGAGGCCTTCCAAAGATTCTCGAACTGGGCAGATTCACCATCAGATCCAGTAGGGTTAACACTGAATCCTTCCAGAAGAAGAGCTCCCCAGCTGCTGGCAATAGTATTGCCCAGATTATGGCAGCCTGCAAGGAGAGCATACATTGTTGCCTCCATGCCCCTTGGGCAGAAGTACGAGAGGATGATGACTTGCGGCATCCATTGCCACTGCTTGAGCACATTCTGCATGCAGCTTGTACCTTGGGAGCTTCGGATGAGCATTTCGCGGCCAAATCTCGGCATTTTGGGCCCACAGAAATGGGACAACTTGTGCCTAACCCAAAGCCACCATGTCCTTCGGAGCAGCTGAACTTTCCTACGGCCACCTGAATCCCAAAATGCTCCAGTGTGCAGAGTCTCGCCTTCCTCTTACTGCCATGTATGCCAATGAGAAACAAAACTGACCCAAGGCTGCTCGAGGATTGCGGAGCCAACGCATGACAAAAACTGCATCTGAGTCAAGTGTAACAGTAGCTAACCTGATCCACCTTGAGCTCTAGCGCCCTGACTATTCTATGTTAATACACGGCCGCCCAGAAAAGTGTTTGACTTCCGACTGCGGTTCAGAAGCTACAAAGGCCAGTAAACAAAACATGTTGTTTGCCGGCAAGAGTCCAAGCACAAATGCATGATCTGGGATGCCCAGGCTCACGTTGAGGCGCTTAAACCTCAGCGATTTCTGCATGATATGAATCGAAGGCAGCTTCAACTCCTGCACCCGAGTGGCAAGATGGTGTCCAAAGCGTTCATGAAACAGAAGGCAAGGTTGGTGACCAACAGTAAGTTCCTGCATTTGGCAAATCACATTGGGGCTGGTGGTCAGCACATGCACACCGCTGCGCACCCGCACACCAGAATTCACTAGCCAAGCATCCGATAGTGGCAGCTGCTAAAGTACCGCTGGAACGTGACGATACCAACCTCATAGTGAAACAGCGGAAATGCCGCACCAGCGTTCCCCATAAACTGTGTAGCAAACTCCTTGCAGAGGTGATTGGATGTGCTGGGATCCTCTGCTATGGTCCCCTTGCAGCCCTCATATGGTTCAGCCAAGGAGCCAAAGACATGAGCGATCCAACCTGAGCTCACCATGTCTAAACACTGGAGGCAAGCAAGGTTTCAACCATCCTGAAGGGTCCTTACAATGTCGAAAACTACACATGATGCACACTGCAGTTGGGAAGCAGTTCCAATCACGGAGTTGTAGTAAATCGGTGTGAAATGAGGCCCCTGCAGCACGGAATTCGAGCTATCTGAGCTTGCTGGCCATCAATCATCACATTCCATTGCTTTCCCCCTGCACACCTCTGGGTACTGCTTCTCAGTGTCGGTCATGAAATAGAAAGCAGCACCGCCTTTTTTTGCAGAACAGGTATGCAGTGCAACCAACGTGGACAGCAGAGGTTGAGATGCCAGCATGGGATCAAACTTGTTTCCTGGCTTGCTTGTGGAGGCACTTGTTGATAATGACAGCGATGTCTGCAACAATGACCACAAGTTGAATCTGGCGATCGTGGGTGAAAGGAATACCTCTCCAAACAGGCATGGATGGGCATGGCTCTCAGTGGCACACACTGCACCAACCTGTGCTTTGCCGAAAGCTTGCATCCAACGCAGTGCCAAGGGGCGCTAAAGAAAAATCCCACCACGAAAAAAGCAGCGGTGGCAGCCATCGCGTTGGTGCGGGTGCTGTCGGAAAGCAGCCCGCAGGCGGTCAAACCGAGGCAGACGATGCAGATTAACCTTATGCTTGCGGCTTGCCTTCTTGGGCCTAAGGCAACCTTGTCTCCAAAGGAAAGGACTGGTGTCACAGTTTGCTACCAAGATGCAGGCTCAAGAAGCAAGCCTCCTTCTGCCTCATACGGTGATACACAGCAGCTAGGACTGACCCCAGTGTGCTTGCATGTGGGGTAAGCGGGCAAAAACTACAAACATCCCGGCTGCTCGTAGAATTTCTTCCTTCTTTCAGCCTTGCAGAGGGCCGCGAGGACTTTCATCTCATCTTGTAGAAGCGAAACCCACAAGCCAAAGGCTGAAAGGTGCAAGTCAGCAGCCGTCTCTTCTGGCTGCACGATCTTTTCTTCAAGGCAGCCATAGCACAAGGGGATCAGCACCTCGGAACTCCAGGCGTGACAAGAGGTTCTTCAAAACATGCAGACTCTCTGGTGATCTTGAAGACACATTGCACCCAAGCTTGCGAAACTATGGTGGAATAGTGAACAGTGGTTTCGGGCTGTTGCTAAGGCGGCAGCCAATCCCGCTGGTAAAGCCTCGGCGCTCTCAAGTCCAATTTCTAGATGGGCATAGTCTTTATTCCATGGCTGTGCAAAACACAGCGCGTTTGCCGAGAGCCCTGCAGAAAGCAAATACAGCAACTTCGGAGACGAATGATTGAGCAGGAGGCCAGAAAATAGAATGCCCAGGACTGACCTCAAGGCTCGGAAATGGCTGGCTGGTACACGCGACCTGACCCAGCATCCTTCTCTTGTTTGTGTGCTGCGAAGCGACCCAGCATTCATCCCAAACCAGACAAAGCCTCAGCCCGAGGCTTGCGCATCGTACAAATCGGAAGGCGGCTGCAGATCTTCTTGCTGCAACTGCAGAGCTTAATATGTGGGACCCGAAAGCTGGCACGTCCTGGATCTTCTGCGCGTATCTCGCCTCAACGGTCGACTCGCTATGCATATTATACATTAACAGTCGAGGCAATTGGGCGGCGTGGGGACCAGTTCTGGGCGACATGCTGTTAAAAAACACAATGCCACAAATAAATGAAAGTTGAGCGGCTTCAGTCAGGATGTCGCACACTGACAGCTGCGACTGCTGCAGGAAGAAGCAGACTACCAACCTTGGTATAAGGCGCTGCTGTGGGCGTCGCCGCCACGAACGAACGAATTGAATTCACAATGACAAATCCTACTTTTGTCTCCTTTTCAGAATCAGTCCCCTCATCTCAACAGTTTTGGGTCGTTTTGTTGCTTCGCACCCGACCCCAAATTTGTTCGAAAAGAGGCTCCCGAAAAGCGTCGCAAAGGAACTGCAGCACTAATTTGGACTCAACTGCTTTGCGGGCCGCGTGTGAAGCGCGGAGCTTCTCGGGGCATGTTAATTGGCAGGCTCAACTGGGCTCATGCGGTAGAGATTAAGAGTACCATGTCCTTGTCCGCCATGAATGGACTGCCAAACGGACCCCAGAGGCTGGCAGCGCTGGGCCATCAAAGGAATTGCAAGATCCACAAGAATGTTCTCGGTATGTTCCGTGGATATTATTAGAACAAGAAGTAGTGTTGCCTGACAATTATCAAAGCAGTTTCCTAGAGAACAATCTCCCAAACAGAATACTACAAAGGGTAAGGAACTGAGCGAACTCTTGTCCAGCGTGGAGTAGTAACAAGGCAGAAGCAGAATAATGGCATGCTCTGAACAGGAATCCAAGAGGATTGGGGTGCGACTCACCCGAAGAGCTCTGAGCCCAAGCGTCCACAAGAGTCCTGCCTGCTGAATTCCTTCGGGGCCCCACCCAAGCAACTTATCACAAACTGAATTTAGGGACCCCTTTTGATTTAGAATTGGCTAGTTGTTTGGGGGGGCGGAAGGGTCGCCATCAAAGATCATCATCGATGGACACAGAGCATGAGAGGGGGTCAGCCTCACGTCACCATGAAGTCGAAAGGGTTTAGTGAAAAGGATGTGTGCCAAGCCTTGAGTTTCTGGTAATTCATTCTGATCCAAAGTTGAGCCCACAAATCTGATTCGCTCTTGATTCGATGTTTATTATAGTTAACAGCGCGCAGGCATGTTTGCTACTGTAGAAGAAACGAAGGTTCTCGTAGACGAAGCTGAGAAGAAGAGTCATCTGCTTTGAAAGTCCCCACCGTTACTTTGTTTGTGGTTAGCTGGCATCATCTACTACTGCCAGAAACAAGACGAGCGCAGCGCACCCAGTATGGAGCATGTGTCAGCAAATAATTCTCAGACATTGTGCCGGCCTGCAGACACCACAGCTGTATATTCCAAGCATTGCCGTTGGGGTGGCTTGTCTGAAGCTTCAAGTTTTCAACTTCGTGCTCTGGGTTTGGGCACTCTAGGGATGGACGTGGGTTTGGATATTCGGCTTTTGGGGACCGAGCGGAGGACGAGGGGAACATAGACCTCTTAAAATCTGACAACCTGACTGTGAAGGTGGGGAACAGCTTATGGCGATGGATTTGCAACGAGTCAAGCTTGGAATCCTTTGGCAACCCGTAGTCGCGAAGATTTGCCACCCAAGTTGCAGCAGATATTCTTCCACAAGCACTAGCTGTCTGGACAGACAAACCAAAATTTCCAAATCTGTCGAGAAGCAGAGATAGGGGAAGCAAGTTGTGTGGAATTAGCCCCACGCCTAAAAAGGCAAGGGTGCCAAAGCTAACGGCTGCGACCATGTACGGCGCTTTGTGGTAACCACCTGGTCATCAGCCACGCGCTATGCTTCACGTTAAGACCAGCAAGCCCTTCTAGCTGCATCTGAGCCGCCTATAGGCATTACATCGCTGATGAGGCCAACTACAGGCTTCAAAGCCCATGGAAGACCAGCAATTCCTGCCACGAAGCTTTTTACGGTGTCAAACAGATTGTTCGCGAATGATCTTCCGCTATGATCCGGTATGCTTGGGACATAGGACACAACATCAATCTTAGCTTGAAGCCTGTGAAGATCTGAACTCGAGGCGCAGGGACCGAATACCTGGAAGCAACGCTGCAGTTGCCACCGGCGAGCAGCTACTGGCAATTAAGAAGAGGGTCACGAAAGCTACGGGGAGTGAGCATGAGTGAGCGGGGCTGATAGAATTCCCTACATTCCATGGCCCAAAGCCTACAGGCAGGCTTTCAAACCCGTGCCCTCAACGTCATGGCCTCAATACGCAGGCATTGATTTTCACCAAGTTGGGAAGAGTAATGACTTGCACAAGCCTACGAAATACGAAAAACCCATCCAGTTGGGGGGTTAAGAGGGCCTTTTGTGGTTGGGCCAGGGCGAGGGCATGGCGGGAGGGACCCCAGCTTCCGGAGCGGGCCTGCCCCCACCCGGCGCAAGCAAACTCCAAAAGAGCTAGCTTTCGTTACATACACTGCTTCCTGATTGAAGCCAAGTGTCGACTTGTAGACGTAGGAATCCTTGTTACAGTCACACTCAAGCTAGTGCTGTCAGCTCCTCATAGGCCTGCAGCGCAACCTTGCTACTTTTTGTGCCAGGATGCTGCCTGACCTGCGAAGTCAGCAACAAAGCCTCTGTTGACCTTGGACGTTTTGGTGTTCGGCAGGGTGCCACTGTGCCACGAGGATGCCTGCCCGCCCGCAGTGCAGCCCAGCATCATGTTCCACAAAAAACAACATAACCAGGAGCTTGTAGCCGATGGCTCCTCAAGCTGTCAAATCACTTTAAGTTGCAAATCTCCATTCAACGCCCCGTGCCTGCTAAATCATCGACAAACTCTGCAGCACCACAAGTCCACGAGCACTCACCTGAAGCTACATTTAGCAAGACTGCCATTGAGAAGCGAATGCTAAGTATATTGCGCCAAGCTGCGGCGCGGCTTACCGCTGAGCAGCGTCACCTTCTCATCACCATCTTCCAGATTGTCCTCCTTCCTTGTCTGTCCATCATCCATGAACACTCGCCACAGCGCGGTCCGATGAGATTACCGGATGGGTTGTCCTGAGACTAAGATGCCCCAAAAGTTCAGGGTCTGAACTTTGAGCCGTATGGCTAGGCGCAGGCCTCTCCTCTTGTACAATCATCAGTTAATCATGACTTGCATCTTGGGGCCCGGATGCAGGACGGCCCCGGGGGCTTGTGCAAGGAAAGGCAAGGGTCCTGCCCTGCATCTGCAGCATGGAGCTCCTCCTGCAAACGACGAAGCTTCTGGAGACTTTGAACGAGGAACCAGTAAGCAGCTGCAGCAGCATTGAAAAACAATAGAGTCGCATTGATTTTCGCGATGAGACACTTGTGCAGGACGAGGGTATCCACACCGCGGATGGCACTTCCGGACTTCTTAAAGGCATGGGAAGGCTTCCGGTTTCGCGCCTGCCCAATTTCCTCCGTGTCTTTCTGCTTGCAGCTATGATCCTGGCAGCTTCTGCCATGCTAAGATGGCACAAGGCAATGCAAGTTGCAAGTTGCTGCCATTTGTTGCGAATCAACCAGAACTCGAGACTACTGAAAGCATTGTGACAAGTCAAGGGTCGCCATTCCCCAGCCGTTCCTGGCTTTACTCAGCCTAGTTATCCATGTTAGTGCCTTTACCTCTGCGACCAGCGATACCCCTTGCTCCAGTAGCACACGCAGCCTTCAAAAACGCTTGGAAAGGCTGCAAGTTGCGCGGGCTTACTGTTACGATCCCTCTGATGCTGTGCCACACACTCAGCCTCGGCCAAGGGCGGGCGCGAAGCTTGCACTACAACTCAGGGCCCGTGTTTGGAACAGCTTTGCACCAAGTCTTGACTTTCGACGCACTGCCCGACATGAGACAGCTCGGTGCTGGGTCGGATTGGTAGTCAGCTGGCGCTTGTCGCAGGAAGTGGTAGCTCGTGGCTGGTGGGCAAGACTTTGTCCCCTGGCTGCAGAACTGCCAAACTGCAACTCTGGTGTTACAGCCGCATGCATGAACATGCGCGACTTGGATCGTGCCAACATTTCTCTATGGGACAAACGGTCTTCCGACATCTCCCTGTTGCTGAGCTTGCAGGACTACAATTGGTTAACAAACCCCTTTCCTTTCGCGAAGTCCTTCCGCAAAGCATTTTCGGTAGGATTTCGGAACATGTTTCCGCAACAATAATTCTCATCTTAAACGCGTTTCAAAGCGCAACGAACACCAGAAGGTCAAACAACCCTACAACTAGCAGGTCCTGAAGCCGGATGTGTCGTTTCACGCTGGGACTTTGTTTTGAAGTCGAGGCTATGACTGCACGAAGCCATCTCAGCGAAAAGGGCCTACATTTTCATATAGTTTAATGTTGTCAAGATGTTTTTCAAAATCTGACTTTCCAAGAAGTATCAAGAGGTGACAGTTACCTCTACTGATCATGGGCGGCGGTGGTGATGGTGGTATCGCTGCCGCCACCAACGCCGCCGTCTCAGGAGTCTTTAGTATGAGCCCTTGGCCTTGCCCCCAAGGTGCTGGGGTACATAATATATAATACATACATGCTACAAATTTATGTGTGATGCATTTTGGGGCCTCGTTTTGAACCTTTCCCTGTTTTGGGAGGGTGCTCGGATCCATCAGGGGCCTACCTGAAAACACAGCTGCTAAACCTTTCAAACCCCGCGAGCCGGCCCAAAGTTGGACCCCCGCCACCCTTTTCAGAACAGATGTTGGGGGTTTGGTCCCCCTCGCCCCAAAACTTCCTCCCACGTCGCCGCCGCCCCGACAGCTGGAGACTTGAGCAGGAAGGCTTTTTTGGGAGTGAGAAAACCAGCACTCCGGTCCGTAGTATGGGCTCTTAATTCTGAGGGCCTCCCAAAACAAGGGCCCCCACACTACGGACCCCACGGAGTGCTGGTTTGCTAGCATTCCAAACCGACTTGGGCAGAGCGCCCAAGTCAAGGGGTCATACTATGGACAGCATTCTCTTTTTGGTTTAGCAGGATACGAGTTTGGGCCCTTGTTTTGGTACGTTTCAATGCTTCCCTGCTCCCTGGCAACCGCGGTGGCGGCCCAGCGGCTGTGGGGCCGGTCGGCGATGGCGCCGTTTCTGGCGGCGCCGTGAGGCTGGTGGCTGGCTGCGGCAGCAGCAGTTGGAAGCCTGATGAAGGTTTCATGAAGTACAAGAAAATTCCCTGGGGAGTAACTATTCAGGAATCAGCATGCGATCTGCTCCTCGGCTCAAGAACAAGCCAAGAAGGGCTCATGAGTATGAAAGATCAGAAACCACCAGACAAATAAGGGCCCACAACAAGGGCCTATGGTACGCACTTTTCAGCTGCGGCTATTCCTGGCCGGGATGCTTATGCGGTACCATTTTAACGCCTAGCTGTTCTTTGCAATTCGAAGTTTTGGCTGCTGGTTTCGGCAATGATTCTGGGTCACATTTCGCTGATCTAGCTTCGGCTGCGCTTCCACAAAGCTTCCGCGAACCTCTCCTTTTGGACCGGATTTCTTACTGAATCTTTCAACTTGGAATCATTTCTCTTCCAGCCTAGTGTGAGTTTACTGCGACTTTTTGTACGATTGCGATGATCTTCGCTGGGATTCCAAGAGATTGCAAAGGATCTCATTTGGGTTTTTAGCTGGGATTTGCATGAACTCTTGCTAGGATATTTATCTTGCAGTGCTTCATGCGCAACGATCGTTAGATTGTTTGACTTCTGGGAAAAGCCGGCTACAGCTAAACACCTTGTAGCGTTGAACGTCCTTGCATAAATCCAGCTTCAGCGAACCCTCTCGCGGAAGGACGCTTCCGCAGAGCTTCTACGTTCCTCCGCGCAGAGGCAAACCTTGTTTTCGGATGGTAAGTCTCTCCAATCTTGGCCTGTGCCTTATATTTGATCTACCATGAACAACAAGGCGTGTCTCGTGCGGGACAAAAAGCATGCCCTTGCTTAGCCACACCCAATACATGGGGATCTGCCCTATGAAATGAAGGGCTGCATCGCACCATGTCATGCAAGGAGCCTTCATGCCGGTACGGAATGGACAAGGACTGGATGATCGATGCTTCATGGCTCAGGCTATGGAAAAAATGTCCCACCGCAGCTTGCTTCATACGCCAAAGCAGGATAAGTCCTAATGAAAACAATACGAAAGGCATGTATGATCATGCAAACAAGCGGAGCTTCTGCCTCATATTCAGCTCTTTCTCTCTCTTGCATCCGCCGCCTCAGTGTATCTCAGTGTCGAAACCTATCCGCCAAGGTAACCGCATTCAGCATGGAGAATGGGTGGCGACAGCTGTTTTTGCGAGATGTCTTGCTTACAGCAGCTGAGCAGCTGCGTCTGCTCCTCTGGCTGAAGGTCAGGTTCCTGGCAGTCTCAACAAGCTGGCTAGACTGCCGATGACATCAGGCCAAATCCAGACACTCTATGCAACAACACCAGCAACTCCATCCTCGGATTCATCCGGAACTGTAGGTGAATCTCGCACAGTGGAGGCCACGTCCTGCTGCAGGCGGGTACCGGGACGCATCTGGTTGATCGAAGCAGAGCGGACAAAATATACTCCAAACAAGCAGTCTAAACAGGGCAGTTGACTGAGCTTGGTCTCCAACTCAAGCAGCAATCAATTGGATGGAGAGCTGAATTCAAAGGCACTTTCAAAATGGTTCGTCCTCTTTGCTTGAATCATCATCTATTACGAAACCGTCCACCTTGGCAGCCAGCCATTGCGCTGTCGAAATGGTACTTTCTGCCTCCCTATACATCAACAGCATCCGCATCACTCTGGGGCTCAGCTACCGGAGGAGTTTCGACTTCCGTCTTCGGTTTTTTGGAAGGCGGGAAGATCGCGTCTGTAGGTCTTTTCGACTGCGGTGAGGCCGGCTGACGAAGGTCAAACGTGCCTGCAAAGCTGGCCATTGAAGTTCTTTCACACATACGGTAGGTGCTTGCCTCGGTCTGATGAATGAGATGCCTCTCTTGGCGGCAGAACAGAACCTACGACCTGCACGGGCTCTTGTAGCAACCTCTATTCAACGTGGAATGGTAGCCACGGGCAGTCTCCAGTCGCGAGCCTCATCGATATTTGGAATGCGTGCTCCCAACCGCTCGAGCAGGTTCATACCCCTTGCAGGCGCGCTGCCTGCGATTCCGCTATGCAAGAAAAATCGAGTCTCTCCTGGGCTGTCACAGCGACAGGACATGACTAGCCTGCGCATTGCGAGCGAAGCTGTCCAGCCAGCTGGCTTGAGCTGCTCGAAGTAGCTTTCTGCCCTGCTTTGTATCGGCATGCTCACTTGTATCAAGATGTGCGAGCTGACGGTATCCAATGATGCCTGGTGTGTCAACCGACTCCAAGGTGTTAGAGTCCTCAGATGACAGCTTGTCTACTTCAGTCGAGAGGACCCCACAGGCTCCAGGTCAAGGCTTGGACTGTGATTGTGAGATAACCCTTGCTGTGATCGGTAGGCAGGTCGGCTTTCTTCGAGCCAAGTCGAAGCGCCTGAACGCAGTATGGTTAATACTAGATTTCTAGTACAACACACGCATAGCTACACTCCAAGCACATGGTGCGCAAACGAGTAGTACCCAAAACCACTTAATGTGTGTGTATGTACATGACTGTACATGTATAGTACACATGCACCCATCGGGTATTTCACTTTGAGCTGCGCTCTGCCTCTCCGACGGTCCGGGCCGCCTTGTAAGCTTCGTACCTTGAATGTCAGCTTCTTCCTTGTGCTCAGGTGGGAACGTGGGAATTGTCTATATAGGGATGCTTGTGGGGATTACTTAGGGGTTACCAAAACCATGACCATAGCGTTTGAATCTTCAGGCACGATCCTAACCTATCCGTCATGATACCTGCCTGCGAAAGCTGTCGCTGCCGCGCCGTTTCGGGTTCTTCGCAGCATACCTTACAAACCATCTCTTGTCATATACCCTGCTGTAACAACATAGTTTCCATCTTCTTGTCCATGATTCCGCATATGCATATATGTATGTGTATATTGATGTCCCCTATTATAACGTCATAGTTTCCATTTTATTTTCCATTATCCGTATATTTGGCCACCTGACCCCTATCGAGGCAGGCTCGAGGCTGCGGCCGAATTCGCGTGTCCGGATTTTGCAAACGGACATCCGCTCGCGCTTTCGTCATGCCGGCATTGGTAGATTGTTAGAATGTCTAGTTCTTCCAAGGCTGGCACACAATTCGCATGGATGGTCTCAGTTTGAGACATTCTTGGAGAATGCTGCTCAGCATGGGTACTTGTTCCAAGTTGCACCTTGCGGCTACAGGATGATTGCTCCAAGCCGCACCGGCATTGTGTAATGAAGGCAAGACGTTGCAAATCAAGGCCACTAAAAGTACCAAACCGCGTGTTCATATGTCGCAGGAAGGACACCTCGGGTGCACATGCGAATCCATCTATTAAGGTGAAACATCTGACCTAACAAGCCTGCATCATCCTGCATCTTATTTCACTGCGCTTTAATATCTTATTGTCGTCTGGACACAGATCCTTGGTTGTTAGTGCAGGCAGCTAGCTGAGATATTCAAAGCTGTACCTTTGGCGCTCTTGTGCATCCAAAGGATGGGAAATTATCAAATTGTCTAGTGGACAACTTGCCCACATCAGGCGCGGCATCATGGACGTACATGGAAGATGAGGAGTGGCAAATCTGAAGGCGTGTTGTAGTCGTTTGAATTCACTCAACTCAACAATTGAGTGGCCCGGCCTAAAGAGGGCCTGACATGAATCATGCCAGCAGATGCCAGCAAACTTCGGACTAACTCACTCCTTGCTCAAGCCTCTCACAGAATAGTCACCTGGCCAGGACATGGAGCCAGCCTTGCATGCTCCCCAGGCATGGACTCAGCATGTCACGCCAAACTCGCCAAGGTCTGCAATGATGTGCGCGAAGAAACATGGGCCTCCTTTGCGGGGCCTTGCACTCACACTTTCTCACCAGACCATATCTTTTGGCCGGCCTCCGAAGAACTTTGTCACTTTGGCACCCGGCCTTGAGTTAAAACTTGTGGACCCTCGCCGGGAACCACGGGACCTCAGTGTTATGAAGCTCTGTGAAGAGCCTGGGGCATTCCTCGCATCTGAGCAAGGTGCTACCCCAGCTTGCCCAGCCAGCATATCCGGCCAAGCCTTTGGTACGTAACACAACACAGACTTAAACTGGATTTTTCAGTCAGTTGGGTCGACCTAGGTTACGCAGAGCTAGGCTGATAGAGGCCTCCATTCTTTTCATCGGGTTGACAGAGAAGTCGCCTTGGCATGCACAGACTCATTCCGCAAAGCCATATCCTGATCCTGGCTGGCATGGGAGCCACACCCTTTCGGTTTTCCTGCTGCCTCGCACCATGCACAAACAAAACTCACAGACTTACTTACAGGATATCTAAACTGAACAAATTGAGCAATGCGTGCCTCCCAGGCTTCTGCCAGTCTGCGTGCCCCTTTAGCACCGACAGGATTCTCCAATAACCGAAGCCTGGGAAAGCTATGGGAACTCTCAGCTGGCCACAAGGCAAAGCGTGTACTCTGGGATCTGCACCAATCAAGATGGCCGCATTGGGGTACCGCCTGGTGAAGCCCAGGAAAGGCTTCCGGGCAAAGAAAAAGGAGCACCAAGACCGGAAGAAGAAAAAAACACTGTCGGCACTGCCTCCGCAAGCCTGCCGACACCCGGGTCGGCAATGCAATTTCGGTAGAGGTCTAGCCTGGGAACCCAGCCCTCCCTAGACCCTTTGAGCTCATACTTGTACTGGACCTATCTTGATCCTACGCTCTACTCCCCTTCCTCATCCACAACAAACTCTCAGTAGTCTTCATGGATGCCTTTGAGACAGCTTCGTTGCAAGCAGCCCCTTGAGCGCTGCGCTCAGCCAGCTGACCACAATGTGGCATCGCCTTCATTGTTGAATCAACAGGCCGAAGAGATTTGCAGTGCCACTTAGCTCTCCATGCCGATGAAGCTCCGGCTGATGGATGGGTCCCCTGCCGCAGCTAACTGCGCGGTGCCACCGTCACCAATCTGATTCTCGCCTAGGTGCGTCAATAGAAACGTCAAGAGTGTGCCTGCCGTAATGGCCGTACAGGTCAATTTGTCCTGGGAGGGAGACTCAAATCCAGCTTGCAGAGCCGCTCACAGCGAAGCAGAGCAGATGCCAACAGCCCTGCACCACCATCACCTGTCTCTGTCATGCAAACATGCTGTTCAACTATCCTCAGCTATGCCGCTGCTAGGTGATACTGAGGCAATAACCAATGCGCCCTCCACCAAGGATCTCACCAACTTCATGCCCTCCTAGGCCGAAAGCCTTCGAGACAAGCAACCTGCCTAAAGCACAGCGCGTCAAGTCAAGGCCTTGCCTCCAGCTTGCACTTGGGAAGGGCCGCAGCAAGGCTCAAGGCACCGCGGTCCCCCACCCGATTTCGAGCAAGGTCAAACCTGACCATGTCTGCCCACAACGGCTGAACTCTAATGAGGTTCTGAACACTTTGCGACTTGCCTCTGCAACTTGTCGCACTTCGGCAGAGCTGCGGCAAAGCGCTCAGCACCAATGTCACTGACCTGCCGAAGCAGAGAACTGCCTTCATGAGCAAGGGTTGCAAAGCGCGGGATATGCTGCCCAGAGTTCCTTCAAGCAAGAGACATCCGCGTAATCAAAATCCCGATCCCAGCACGTAATTAGAACCCTCACCCACATTTGCGAATGGAATCTTCCAGGACGTACGTACAGTAAAACAACGATAAAACCTACTGATAGACTTGCGCTATTCTTGTTTCATTGCAGTTATTGCACAGATACTTGACAACCAGAACTGCAAAACCTAATATCCAGCCATGACATGATGCTGGCCCTGCTCATAGTGCAGCCATCAACACCATATACGGTATCTGGAGGGCTAGCACTAGAAAGCCTCAGACCCAACTGAGTAGTGTTTTTTGGGAGTTAAACCCAGCAAGATTATATTCCTTATATAAAATACTATACCCGAAAGGAGGATATAATCTTACTCTATATTGGGTACCATAGTAACCCATAGTAACCCCGAAGAAGATACGAGTCAACTGTGTTTCGCAAGCTCAGAGGCCTCGTTTTCGCTCAGGTCAAGAAGCTGTAAGCTGCTGCATCGAGGCATTGCCAGTGCCTGGGTTACAAACCGGACTGCGGCAACATGTGCCCAGGAAATCCGCTGAGGCCGGAGGCCTGGGGCGTTTAGATCCAGGTCGGACGGAGACTAGGAAGAGTAAGTTAAGCCGCTTACCCCCTCAGTGCGCTTGGGGCCGACACAGGTTCCCCTTGAGCACCAGGCTGAAAACACTGTTTGGGTTCTGGGTTGCAGTGAAGTGGGAGGGGTCCAGGAGGGAGGGGTCCGGGGGGTGAAGGGGTGGGTCAATGGGGAGGCTGTCTCGCGTTAGCGATTAGATTATCCTGAGGCACCTGAGAGCTTGACCAGTTCCCCAGCACCGCCATCCCCTATCTCGTTCCTGTCAAGTGGCGGGAATGACTCAACGCGCAGCAATTTCCCGGAAGTCATCTGCCAAAAGCAATCTTGAGCCCGCACCCTCGAAGTACCAGCCGCCGCAAGCCTGCGTGGAAAGCCAGGAATAGCTTGGGCAACCGCAGCTCTCGGTTGCCCCCGCAAGCAGCTCTTTTTGGTGTGCGTGGCTCCGCTCATCTTTGCGCGATCCACGTACTTCAACCTCTATGCTTTGCTGGTTTGCTGCCAATTTAGGGCTCTGCTGCTGCTACCAGTTTTCGTTATCCTCTATGCCGTTTCGCCTGCATCAGACACACTTGAAGCAATTCTTGCACTTTAGCATGTTATTAAGCACTTCTGAGTCAGCGATGCTTCGGTTGGCATCATGTCATACCAAGTGTGATCTTGGCCTGTGCGTGGGAGAGCGGTTGCCAAGCCGCAAGCACCCTGGTCCCCAATGAAGTTGCCTTGCCGAGCTGAGCGACAAAGCGAGTGCAAAGGCGCCTTGCAGTCTCAGGATTCAGGAGCTGGCGATCGAGGCCCAGCGACTGGATGACGGCGCTCGGGAGAGCTGCAGCCAGGCCTCTCGTCAAAAGCCATCTCAGTTTTCAACTTTCTCGAGATCTCAAATGCTGAGCGCAGCGCTGCAAAGGCCCAGGTCGCCGATCTCATTGCCCGAAAGGTCCAGCAAGACGAGTGACCTTTGGAGCTGAATGTGAGGCCAAAGTCTCGTGTTTCCTGCGCCAGCTGCAGCACTGAACATGCTGAGCATGCTCTCAGGCTTTGACTGCAGGAGCCGGGGGCTGTTTAGAATGGTGTCTGCCTGGGGAACGACTCAGAGGCAGGTTAATACTCAGGAGTCAGTCTCAAGGAGGGCTAAGCCAAGGATTCCACGAGCTTCTCTGCACCAGCATCCCCGATGCGATTCCGAGCCAAGTCCAAGCCTCTGCGCCAATGCCGAACATTGGTGAAAGATGCGAAGCGATGCCACGTGCGACAAAAACCCACACACTTCTCTTAGCGCAGCGCGCTGGAGCTGAGTACAGCTTGAAAGCGCACCATCTAGCCTCTGGCATGAGGAACATAAGAATGATAGCAGTGAGGAGTCCATCTGCTTCAGAATTCCTACTTCCTGGTTCTTATCAGGGAATAAGGGAATTTAATCCCTATATAATAGATTCCCATAGTCCCTACTAGCCCCCAATAAGCCTAAGGGCACGGCTGTCCCATCTCCAGGTCTCCCCAGTCCAAGCGTGCCAAGGGCATCTCGATAGCTCCGGCGACCAGATCCTGTGCATAGCCACTCTTTATACGGGGTATTCCCAAAATTAGGGGTACCATTTTGGGGGTCCCAATAATAAGGACTGTAATATCTTGGGGTCTATATTGGGGTACCCTAATTTTGGGAAACTGCCATATGAGGTATTCCCAAGGTTAGGGATACCTTTGAAGGGTTTTTGGGGGGCTGTATAGGCGTATATAGGGCTTATATAGGGTCTAGGGATTAGGGCGTGGGGTTTCCCGGGTTGTTTTTGGAGGAGTCCCCATAATAAGCATTATGATATTTTGGGTAGGTTGGCCCCCCTATGCACGGAAACTACCATAAAATCTAACATCATCTCATGATGGCACATACCTTGCAGTCAGAGAAGTGGCTGGGGCCTCATAAACCTCTTGGTACAGTGTCCCAAGTAGCTCCCGGTCAAGGCCTGCAGCACGCGTCTGCGAGCAAACTGTCTAGCATGTTCTGCGCCATGCAAATGAGACTAGGGCTCCACGAGAAATGCTTTCTCTCCAGCTGTGCCTGAAACTCTGCAGGCCTCGGCTTTTAACGTTGGTCTATGTGTGCTGTCACATGCTAGCACACACCATCCAACAGGCCCTGCACGTCACCGGCGGCGGCCTCTTTGCCCTGCAGGCGCTGAGGACGGCAAACCTTCTTGCAATGACCACGCCGGACGATGCTGAAAGCGTGGGTTGAGAACTGCAGGCAAGACTGCTCCAAGCACGTGACCAGTCGGGCAGATCAAAGCTTGCTAATCGTCCTGCGTTTGCTGTTCAATCTCCAGTTTAAGAAGATTGGTTTGTAGCTGTGGTGTTTCCCCAGCTAGCGGGTGCCCAGCCTACATCAAGGACTTGCTTTTTGCCAGCTGGCAGGAGACTCAGCGCCTTGGTAACAGACCCGGCGAAACAGACATGATGATGGCCATAAACGAATCAGAAACCCACTGTGGCTTGTTGCCCGCTCTTTGCTGGGGCTATGACTCTTTCGAAGGTTGTCCAGCCGCGCAGACTGTAAGGCTCCTTAACCGCAGGCTGTGAGAATACCGGCAATGGGCTGCTCGACCCAGGGTTCTGTGCAGCGCCAATCGGAGAGTTCGTCAGCATCCACACCATCGTGTGCTGGTGCCTTTGGCAGGCTCTGCAAGGTTGCAGATCATGCAAAATCCCAGACAGCATCAGTTTTTCAAGCTGTTGCTAGCACAAGGCTCGAACGCAAACCATCTGCCAACCTCCAGGCCAGCATGACATGCGGTTCGCACAGGCGGCAAAGTACAGCCTGTTGAAATTTCTAGTGTCTGCTACTTGGCGACTGGGCTTGGCCTTAAGGCCAGGCCGCAAAAAGCCCAAACCTGATTTGTAAGTTGTCCCTGACGTAGAAGGCATAACCTGTCCGTCCCCTTAGGTATCAAGGCCTCCAATATTAGATAGTATGAACGTGTGGTTCGGGGCGCATTCTTTGAGCAGACAGACCTCAACCTTCATGCTGACACAGCAGCAAAAGACCTCATGTTGCAACACAGAAGAATGTTCCAGCCTGCTGAAGGAACCGTTCAGCGGAACGCCTCTCGTCTGCAAACCGGGGTTCCTGGAACCAAACGCGGCGCCGCAATGGAAGTTGGTCTCACAAGAAGGGGTCTGGTCCTGGTAGCAGCTGCACCAGTCCAGCAGAACGGCACAATCTCGCCTACGCGTCACGTCATGTTTGCAACGGCTCCAGTGCACAAGCCTTCCGCATCTTTTCAGCTCAAAAACAAATCAAGGGCCGTGAAGCTCTACAAGAAAATTCAGCTAGCTGATACCGACTGTCTTTGGAAGCAAGCCTTCCCAGGCTGTCGGATGCAGGCGCTGGCTCAGCTCCCTCCTGCAGGCAAAGGCCAGACTCCAAAGCAGTTGAGAGAACTCTAGCCCACCTTTTCAACCAAGGGCTCTCACAAGGGCATGGAGATGGACATTGCTAGAGAACGCATCTGACATGGAGAAGACCAGCTTTAACTCGACAAAGGAGCCTGCTCTGTCAGCGGAAGATCTTCATCCTGCAGGCGATGATTTCATTGGCATGTGACTGCAACAGCAAGTCAAACTCTACATTGAAGATAAAGGCATAGGGACCAAGAGTCCTGGTGGTAAGTGCTTGGGCTGTGAAGGCTCTGCGACTGATGCCTCGTGCACAAGGCAAGGTTCAGGACTGGATCCCAAGCCCGGAGGCTGCCTGCCTGTCTTGCTGCCCATGCGGTGCTAGCCAAAGGTCCAACAGGTGGCCCAAGATGCGCAGTTGGTGGCCCTACGCGGCTGCGGAGCTCACTCCACTGTTGTTTGCTCCTGCCTGAAGCAACACCTCTGGGTCTGGATGAGCTGCAGTCGCCCAACAGTAAGAGACCTGGCAATCATCTCAGGACTTCTTTGGACAAAGACCTGGCGGCCCTATGAAACAGGCTGGTCCAGCTGCCAGCAGAGGCGTCCCGCGACCAACGTGCGCAGCATCACAGATTGCCTGCACGGAAAGTGCAAGTCCATCTCTCCATCTCCGCTCCTCCACTCTCCTCCACTCCTTCATCTTTTGTCGTTTTGCAGCGCCTCTGGAGGCAGCTGCTGCCGCCGAGGCAAGACAGGCAGAACACCTCCAAAAACCAGGCATGTGTGGTTGCTCTCCTGGCAGAGCATCTCCAGCCTTGCTTCGTGCGAGCTAGATCTGCCAGCCACGAGCCCCAGACCTGAGCCAGTTGGCGAGAGATCCGCTTTTGCTGGTGCATGGGGCACAGCAGGCAAGCCGAGATCTTTACGAGCACCGCGTCGCCCTCACTGAGCGACTTGGCAAGATCTGCGAGGCCTCAGAGTGCTATTTTGTTGTTGTATTATATGCTGCCATGGCAAGAAGAGCTAGTTGAGCTTCTGACTAGAGTACGATCCACCTTCGCCATGCCAGCTACCCTTCCCCAATATTGCAGCCTGTCAGTCTCTTGTTGTGCGCGATGGAGCGCTTCCATCTAAATGCAAACGCTCCTTTGCAGTCTCTTCGGGCAAATAGTCCTTGGTCTGGAGGGAGGTCATCAACATTTGGACATCTGCAGCATACAGTTCACGTACTTCTGAGCGCTTCCACTGAGAGATCGCTTGAAGAAGGCTCACTTCGGGTCACTTCCTGGCACCACGGGCACCACATGGGAGATATGGCCAAGCTCCGAACTAGAGCGCGATGTCTAATCCGCTCCGCTTGATGGATAACTGAATCTAGCTGTGGCGGTCCAATTTTGGCAATAGCCCATTAGGCTTGTCTTCTGTGATCTTTCTCTTCACTGAGTGCTCTGTCATGTTGTGCCAGCTCCATGACCAGGCCTCGAACGGGTGCAAAGCGCTGTTGGCCGGTAAAGCCTCCGTGCTCTCCTCCACCTTCGCAGGTACAGGTAGTATCCATCTCCAATTGGATTTGTTTCGATTCAACTTTCTCGGGGGTTCGTACCTTCCTTGTAGGAAGCGAAATTTCATGAAATCCCTTGCACTTCTGGGTATATCTCAGGCCTATCATCAATGGAAAAAAGTGATCGACAATCAATAGCCAACACTGCGTTTTCTACAGCCTGTATCCGCAGAAGGCATGCCGCTGTTTGGATGAGCTTTCTAGCAGCACCTCCTAGTTGCAATTCAAACCCATTCCGACTCCTGAGAGAAGCTGGCGAGAACTTACACCGCAACACGTTCACCAAATCCAGCAGGCTATCGCGAACGAATTAGACGGTGTAATGCTCTCACTTGATTCCCAGCAAACAAATCCCCCGAAGGCTCTGCGGCATGTTGCAGCCTCGCGGACAACACCAGCAGTGGTGACGTCAGTGTTCTCCGCGTTCCCTCCGGAAAGCCCAAGCTGCTTAATCACCGCTGCATGCATGCATGCTCTCAGTGGACAAGCAGTCACCACCCTTTCCTGAGCGGCAGCACCATAGACCTGGCACAGCACATCGGCTTGCACAAGAACTGACAGCGACCATTCAGCATGTTGCTTTCTGTAGTACTTGCAGTGTAGCGACTGCATCCAACAGCTGGAACTTTGCAACTTTGCTGCTGCCGTCGGTCAGAAAGAGTTGGCGGATATTTGGTATGCGAAGCAGCGGGCTGATTAGTCATAGTCCACATAAAGAAGATCTGCACGGAACAGAGGGCAGATGGAAGCGGAACTCCAAAACTTGAAACATGTCCAAGACATATTGGACAGAAACTCTAAAAGCGTTGCACCACTTCAAGCAATGCAGGGTGCTTTGCTTTCCGTCCTCTCACCTCAGAGCATTGGACTCGTAAAAGAGGCGCGAAGGATTGTTGGCTTCGTCGTATGCTTCCTGTTCAGCTTTCCAGTACTCTGAGGTGTCCAGCTCCCTCTGCGACACCGGCAATGGAGGCAGATAATGCGCATGATGCGGCTGTGCGTCAGCAGCTTCATTGGCAATGCGAAAGAAGTCGTTCAAATCCTTCAAGCTCTTCGTGTACAGATGGCTGGCCACTTGTGCGTCATAGGGCGGGCTGAGCTTTGCACTCATCTGTTTCACGGTCGAATGGAATTTGCCAGCAGCTTTGCGGGCATCTTCTGAGAAGGAGGCATCGGGATCCCACACGTCATACCCAACCATCAAGAAGATTGGCGTCGTCAAGTCACGTTCCACTTGCGAGATTTTGCCTGAGCCGTGCCCGGGGGACACGAGCTTGTCCAGCTCGGACAAGGCCTGCGCAGCATCGCATGTTCCCGCACCACAGGCCGTGTCACTGGCCTTGAGGCCATCCCCAGTGTCTTTGCCACTGCCCCTGGTTACCACATCTCCGACATAGAAACGATACCATTGGGCTGCTTCACGGACAGACACAGCCTTGCCCTTGTACAGCGCCAAGCGCTCCTCGGGTCCTTGCTGGATCACTGCTTTTGCTGGCAGCGATGGCAGCGCACCAAAAACGCCCAAGGTTGGGTACAGGAACATCGACCGCCGTCCCGTCGGCGCAGTGAAGGTGGCATCTTGCCCCACGAGGCAAAACACCGCGAGCAAACAAAGCAAGGGAAGAAGGGACCGGGCGGCTCGAGGATGCCCAGAGGCCATGGCTGCTCCCCAAAAGCCTCAAGCTGTGCTGTGCTGAAACGGCTGGCGGGAGAGGCATGCTCGAAGCTGGCCAACTCCGGTACAGCTGAGCTAAGCGCATCGGCAGATGGCAAGAAAAAGCGAAAACAGCTGTCATAAACTGGCAATTGCAAGCGAGATGACAGTAATCGTTGTAATATCTGTGGCAGCCGCGGCCGCAGCCACAGCGGCAGCAGCAGCGCACAAACAACAAGGGGCCCGGAATTATTTTGCTTCATTTTTAGGGGCCGGGGCTGGGCCCGCAAGTTCCACGCAAGAGCTCGATTTCAAGGCAGCATGTGAAGCCACTCCACACGAGAGCACCATTTGCAGGCAAAATGTGAGGATGCTCCATGCGAAAGCTCCTCCATTCCCAAGCACAATACACGGATGCTCCGCGCGAGAGCTCCATTTCACGGCAGCATCAGAAATTATGCAAATTAGTGGAGCTAATGAGTATGATGAAAACAGTTGAAACATGCTGAATATGAGGAATAAGATGACAAGCGATGGAACATTATGCGACAACAACCATACTGTATGATGAAGAGAATATGAAACATGATGAAATGTGATGAACAAACGTAAGTGTCAAATGCAAAAAAATGTTGAGACATGATGGACAACAGTGAAACATGATGAATATGATGCAAACGCATAAAAAACGATGAAGCACACAAAATGATGGGACATATTGAAGAATGACGAAATGATGAAAAGTGATGAACAACGAGACAATAAGAAACGTGTGTGGAGAATTCTGAACAACTATGAACACTGTTTGAGCATGATGAAAAATGATAGCAATAATGACTATGGTGAAGCTGATGAACAATGATGGGAATGATAAAATTTCCGAAACAAAAGAGGTATGAACACATTAATTATGAACTATGGTAAACCATGATGCAAAAGATTGGAAGATATGGAACATTATGAAACATGATGATTATGAAGACGACGACAAACAGTATAATGAAACATAACTGTGATGACAGATTCCGGATCATTATGATGTATGATGAAACATGACGGAACATGATGAAGTTTGTCACTGCAGCATGATGAAACACGGTTAGATATAATGACAAGCTGCGATGCAAACTACGAAAAACTTTGTAAAGCGCTGAGAAATGAGGAAAATGACGCAAATACGGCAGAGTGATGCAATGCTGTGAGAAAAAATGGAAATTCACGAAACATGATGAACAGGTTGACAAGTGATCCACAGTAACGAGGACAAATCGTGAAAAAACTGTAAAATATGACGGCAGATGCTTGCGCGCATGTCTTTTTGAAAAAAAAGAGCAGGGCGGTTTGGAGGGGCGCAGTCCCCACCCATTTGCAAAACCTGGTCCAAGATTAGAACATGTGCTTTCTTGCGCAGATTTGTTTGGATCTGGAAAGGGTAACAGGCAATACTAAGCAGAATGAGAACAGAATTAACAACATCTTGAAACCTCTGCATGCCGGCCTTGTACCTCTTGGAAATCAACAAACGTTGATTACTTAAGAAGGATATGTGAAACATTCAAAGGTCTTTGACTGATTATGACGAAATCTTGGATAGAAGAAACGGAAGTTGATAAAACATAGTGGGAAATGATGAAGATTGATGACAAGTTGTGAAATGTCATGGCATATGCTGAAAAATTGGAAATAATGAAAATCCTGATGAAACTTGTTGAGAAAGATAGAAATCACGAACTTTTGTGAACAATAACGAAATATAGTGAACGAAAATGCGATGAAGGAAACAGGGTGAGACATGATGAAAAATGCTGAAGATGAGGAAGAACATGAAAAAAGTGCAGAGAAACGATGAACTATGATGAAACATGCTAGCAACATGATGAAACTTGAAGGAACATGGTCAAAATGATGAAATAATGATCGAAAGCCCGTGAAAATGACGCATTTGAAAAAATGACGAAAATGCTGAACACTGATTGAAACTACTGACAGATGATAAACGGCTATGGGAATAATGAAAATGATGAAAACTGTTGAAGCAGGCTGAAAATCATGAATAATCATGGAAATCAGGTGAATCATGAAACATAATGAATATCAAGAAATTCATAAAATCTGACGGACAATGATGGACAATGATGAAACATGACGAACACTGTTGAACAATTATATAAGATGATGATAAAGTCACAGTCTTTAAGGAGGGCGTTGCGAGGGGGGGAATAAGTCTGGACCTAGTCTTTTTCGTGGTGGAGTCCATCTTGGGGGGGGGGGGTGGGGGGGGTTCAGGGCATGTTCCAGATCAGGGGTGTCCCTGTAGAACATGCGAGCAGCTGCTGCACTGCACCATTCCTCGTGCGGACAATGCTGATTCCGGAACTTTTCCTCCCAGACATATTGTTGAACAGTCCCCAACTGTAGCAGAATAGGTCCATGTGGGGCCCACGTTCACACCAGCCCCAAAGATCTATTCTTGCAGAGGGGGAAGGATGAAAATGATGAACAATGATGGGAACTGCTGAAAAAATGTGTGGTTCTGGGGGGCCCGCCACTGAAGGACTGCAGGACCAACAAACCAAAATAAGAAACTACATACTCCTCCAAAAATCAGGTTTCATGCATGTCGTGCACCTCATTTGACATCTTGAATGGGAAGCAGTTTCCTTCTTGAAGTTTCAATTTGCTTCCTCCAAGCTCAAGATCAGACTTGGAAACGCAACACCCCAGAAATTGCATTGAAATTGCGACCGTCCCTTCTCATGGTCATGGGTACGGCTGTCAGGCTATTGAGCTCATTTCCTTCAGAGACCCTCTAGAGCTTCTCGGAGGCCCAGCTTGCCGTCAATAGCTGTGCTGTCATTGCCATGTTGGATGCTGCACAATCAACCGTGTAGCAAAGGCCGGAAACAGTGAACCAAGATAGCTCACTCACTGCCACAGCAACTTCAGACATGCCACTTCTCCCAGCCAACCCTTGGCATCTCTTCTGCCCCACAAATCGCTGCCTCTTTGCTCTGTCTGCCGCTCGGCAGCCTCTGGCCTCCTCAGCACAACCCTCTCTTGTCATGGTCGTGCGGCATCTTGGTAAAGATTCTTGCAAAGCTTCCAAGGAGTTCTGTGTCACAACGTGTGTCACGAACAGTAGTTGCAGCATTTATGAGGTATTCTGTTCAAATGCACCATATGATGACTCAAGGCTTGGAAAAAGAACCACCTAGCTGGCATGAGCTGGCCGAAACCGTTGCTACCTAAATAATAGTTTCCATTGTCTTTTCCATTACCATCCCATATAACATAATCCCTTATTCCATATTATTCCGCAAGCCAGGATTTCCAAAAGCTTTCATGCCTTGACTTTATCGGTAGCTTGTGCCGTGCTAGACATACAATTGTTGTTATTTACTGTTGCTATTATTACGATTACTGTTACTGTTCCTTGAACATCTTGGTTGCTGGCACATCATGGTCAGGCGGCCTGTCTGCAGTGCAGAGATGCAAGGTAACGAGTGTTGCAAGAAATGGCCACGCCGCAACTGCCAGCCAGCTTAGCTGCAGTAGACATACTTTCGCTTCTCTGGTGGAACGTTAGAGCTTGCATGCCACTGCAGACGACAGGTATGCCTCTCCAACGAGCTGTTCGCCTTAGAAGCCCAAGAGTTGAACCCTCTTTGTCAAGAAGCTTTGATTGCTGCCATGTCTGACAATGGGAGTCGTTGACTTGCAGCACTAGTGGGACTAATTCAAGAAAGCCATACAGTCATACAGCCTTCAACTTTCCCAGGCTGACAAGTCTGCTCCAGGAGTCACAGAGCTTTGGTACCCCAATCCTTTCGTCTACCTGGGACAAAGGTAAACCTGGTGGCTCTGGTATGACTGCGCTTGGCCATGCTAAGTACCTGGCCCCCATGAGGTGCACATGGCACGCCAATCAAATAGCGTTCTCCGCGATCAATGACTAATGAATTGTTCTATAATCATCCAAGTCATCAGCTTCGTGAGTGACGAAAACATCTGGCGCATGAACTAGGACTAGGAAGCCAGGCATCCGGTGAGAGTATTCATTGTAGAAGGACAGCGGCCTTTGATGAGCCCGTCCCTTTCACAGCATGATATTGGCCACTGGCGAAACAGGATAAGCAGATTTGCGACTTGAGCCAAGCTAGCGCAGGCACAGTCGGATGCTTCGAGGATCCCACTGACCCAGAAACATCTTGTTGTTCACGTCGTCTTGTTTTGCACTGGACGCGTAGACTTACTGGTTTTTAGTAGAGAAGAAGGGATTATCATCCCTATATTATATTCCCCTCTTCCCTACTGAGAACCAGAAAGTAGACTCAGCTATGTCAGGTCTGGCATCTCGCCACTTGCACCTGCGAAGAGTGCCAGCGCAGTCGAGATGCATCCGAGCGACTCGCAACTTCACTTGCTGGTCATTAGTAGGGCATATATTCTGATATGTGTTTTACTCCTTCGCACCTTATATTATGTTTTGGGGTTTCGGGTTTAGTGTTAAGGGTTAGTAGGGAACAAGGGAGTATAATGGGGTTATATAGGAATAATGGAAAAGAAGCTGGAACTACTGTATCTTAATAGGGTAGAATAGGGTGTAGTAGGGAATAAGGGGATATATAAACCGGGTTTATGCATGGATTACAATCCCGTATTTCATGCTAAGAACCAGCAAGTTCAACAGCATGATCAGCCGTTGACCTGGAGCAACGTCTGCATCACAATGTGGCCTGGCAACCCACTGCAAGTTCAACAATTGCTACAGCACAAAAGCTCCATGCCGTACAGTCAAGGCCTTTCATCGCTTCCCCCCTGATGTTAAATGACGCCCCCTCCCCCCTCCCTCCCGAATGCTAAATATTGCGGGGCCCGAAAAATTGTTTAGTACTAAAGCTGTTTATTGGAAGAATTAGCTAGGTCTGCCTTTTCAATCCTTTTAACTCCATGGAAGATCAACAGTTAAGGAAGTAAATGACTGACTTATTGTACTTCAACTTGTCAACTAATAATTGAATATCTTATCAATTGAGACTATTCGACTGATTAATCACTTGAATATCTAACTCATACTTCCAGACCCCCTTGTTCAGTATTGGGCCCCTATTAAACTAGTCTTGCTCTTTGAATCTATAAGTGCTCCGTCAAATTTTCAGGCCCTGAGTCTACTATCTAATATTGGGGGTGGCGTTACTGTTAGGAGAAGGGATCATTTCGCTTGTGCGAACCCCTTCTGGCCTCAACGTCCGGATGAGTCGCTTTGGGGTCAAAAGAGATGTGCCCCCAATTATCACCTGGCCAGGGTGCACGTCCGCAGAATGAAAAGGACCTTCCAAGCCCTGCAACCTCTGTGCCGCGAGGCATCTTTTGCTCCACCTGTCCGTGGGGCAGGCATTTCGTTTGAAAGCTGCCAAATGACGGCTTGCGCCGGCTTGGTTCAGCTGAAACACAGAGCCAGGCCGGGCCTCTGCAGCAGCTCTGAGCTCTGAGAGAGTGAAGCCTCCTATCCTCAGGCTGCGAGGCTCTGTCGCATGCGTTGAATGCCAGCCATTCTGCTGAACAAAAACCAGGCAGTGCCAGTCATTGACAGTCATGCCTTGACAACCTATGCGTGCATGCAGACCAAGTTCTCACACATCATGATCCTAGATGTTCGCTGTGGGAGCTGGCCCGGCTTAGATATTAGTATTCGGACAGCAGCCTTGGAACCCAGCACGAAGACCAGAATCCGGTGAGTGACTTGCGTGTGCTCGCTTTCAAGCCCACCTAGATTGGGGCGTACATCAGGTCAACACATGTGTCAACATTTGTACAGGCAGAGCCTGACACCGTGGCAAAGGACCAGTCATCTTTGGCCTGCCACGGATTAATGACTGGGATAAACAGCCAAACACTGTTAGCCACAGTACGTCCCTGGCCTGGATCACAGGAGCTCCCAAATGCTCGGCGGTCGCTGCACCGGCCTCCCGAAGGCCTCAGACGCTGCCAAACGACCCAAAAGAGCCTTTCAGAGATGCTCAGAAAACACAAGCTCAGTCAAACGCCGAATTCATCCCTTGGCTCCAACATGGCAAGGGCTGTCCACGATTCAACGGGATTCAACGGGATGGAGCATCTGAGGCTGCTTCCCTGCGTTTTGGAGCACTGGAAACTCCTCGAAATAAAGCGTTGCGACATTTTGACCCATACCGAGATTCTATAACACTCTTACGCGCAGTTGCTGTGCACTAAGTCACTACGTTCAACCACCGGCTGGCACCTCCAAGCTGAGCCGATCTTCTACCAGCTGCTCCAATATCTCCTCATATTACAAAGGGGATAATGGAAAATAAAATGGAAACTACTATAATGGAGAATCAAATGGAAAAGAAAATGGAAAATGAAATGGAAACTACAATGGGATAATGGGTTATATTAACACTGAAATCATGAGCATACTCAGAAGTATCATCTCGTGTGTTATGCACGATTCGATACACTGCGTACATATATGTTATGTATATATCATATGCAGTACCAAAAGCGAATATACGTATAGGTTACTCTTGATTAAGTAGTCTTGATGAGGAATTACACTGCATTCATATGGAACAGTATTGTTGTATTACGTACTGCACACCTCGTTTTACATAAGCATGCAAAAAACATGTTAGATCATGTAATGTTTCAAACGGACAAAGCACGAGCAGGAGTTTCTTTGGGGGCAAGAAATTAGATGCTCGCAAGCAGTTGTTTTTGCCAAGCTGCTGTCTTGACTTGTTCAAGCCGCATGCACGCGCTGCGCTCTAGGTAGGTGCGCTTCTATGCTTGCCATTGCACCATGCCTTTGGTCGTAGAGCAACACGAGGATACGGAGCTGCGCTGTGCCGCGGGCGCACAGTCTTTTCTTCTCCACTTTTTTTTTGAACATGATTCTGAAGGTTCGCTGAGTTTGCCAAGGTGTGCCAAGGACACGCTGAACATTTGCCGCTGTATAGGCTGGCGCTGCATGCGCAACTGCTTTACAGCGGAACTCTGCCCAGACTTCAACATTTTCATAGCGGGCAGGAGGCTCCATGTGATCTATTGATTTGATGGCAGGGGCAGTGTCTCAATTCAAACAAATCAATTCGAGGTGCCCCATTTCATCGATTTGGTCTACTTGATTGGGGGTTTCGGTTTGAGAGGCCGAACTGAAAGACCCTAAATGTAGGACCGGCGCTGCCAATTAATGTGAGTAAAGGAAGATCTGGCCCAAAAGTCGAGGCCGAGGCAGCACCGTTTAGCAGCTGGTAATGGTTTGTGGCAACCAAAGGTTACGTTACCAAATAAATCCGTTTGATTCCACACAAACATGCGGAAATCCTTGGTTGGTGTAGAACATATAGGATGCAGTTTATACAGGTGATTCGTATTCAGTACATGTACATATCATATATACACACGTCTACAGATGATACATTAGGTATACATTATCTCTGCACCACGTTCTTCGCTCTGCCTTGAGTCTTGGCTCAAATCGGGAGAGCTCGAACCGCCCCTCGGCCTGCGCAGGCTTCAACAAAGCCGGCTTCTGAGGAGCTCCTCGAGTTGATTGGGTAAGCTCCGGACGACAGCGTTCTTTTTGAACCTGGCCGCCTGCCAGTGCCAGCAGGAGAATCATAGCAGGCCCAATGAGCTGCATAACAACAGACCCAAGAAATCCTGAGGACTTTCCGCTGAAGTGGCAGTTCACTCGCTTGACGATATGGAGCCAGACGGTACCCTGTCCCCTTAGATGCATCCTTCCCTTCCCTGAACCTGCATTGCACAGCAGCGATAGCGTCGCTGATTCTGCAGAGCTTTGCTCGGAGCACAAACCTGCTGGCGGAGCAGCACTCCCCCTCCCTAGGCAATGGCATGTGCCGCTGTAGCAGCAACGGAGTGGGTGAAGGTTTCCCAAAAGAGCGAGTAATCATCGAATCGTCGATCGAACCGGCTGCAGATGCCTTTGCACTGCGTAGCTGCATTGCAGCTACAAAAGAGTAGGATTTGAAACCAGGATCGCCTCCTTGTTCAAGGCACTCTGCACATCACTCGGGGCAGCCGGCCCAGTTGGGGAAGAATCGGCGCAGCGAGTCAAACGACGAGACTGTGAAGTCTGCCTGGGCTCTCCAAAGGCTGCATGTACAAAAATTGATAACTCCTAAATACAAATCTTTACACCCTATTATACAGTAGCTTCCATTTAATTTTCCGTGTTCTTTTCCGTTTGATTCTCCATTATCAGGGTAACATCCCTATGTAATTAAAGGTCCTCGCCCAGACTTTTGGCAAAACCTTGGCCAGGCCTTAGCAGAAAGCATCATCTGCGCGTCTTTGAGATCGCTTCCGCCGCCCTGTCCAGGATATCCTGACGTGCACCCATGGCCTCCAGACTTGTCACGGCAAGACTGGGAAACTCAACCAGGTCTACGCTACACTGTCTAGTTTGTATTCTGCTAAGCCCTAAGCCGCTTGCAGTTTGAACCTTGACGAAGACATTTCCCAATAACCCAGCCTTTGATCTGCTCTTCATGGAGCATTGTAACTGGAGTGCAACCAGCTTCTGCAGCCATCGCCAGATATTCACCAGTGGCTCCAACTGCAAGGACCTCACTGGGTTTGAGGCCTGCAGACGACAAACAAGTCTTGAAGGTCTCAGCATCGCCATGCTTTACATTGAAGATCTTGAGTTTATCCAGCGCGGGGAACTTGTTGATGCCATCCTGGTCCGCGAATATGCAAACTTGCGCAGCACTGCATAAGCTTGGTAGGACTTCAGCACGTGCTTCTTCAGAGACTACTCCATCCTGCAAAACAACGCCTGAGAACTTGAGCGGTGGACATGGCTGACAACGAAACCGAATGCTTGGGGACTCGATTGCGAGCTTGGATGCGATTATCGACAACTCCGGAGATACACGCTTCTCACCTATCATTTTAGCGCTGGTGGAGGCCACCGTTTTGCGAATCACTGCCTGCAAAACTGCACCAGCCTTTTCGAGAGCCAGTGGCAGTTCGTGAGGCTTCTTCTGTGTCCAAGCTAGAATCATCGCAGCAGTCAGGTCTCCAGTACCTGTGAATGGTCCGCCTTCTAATCTGGGCAGCTGCAGCATCCATTTCTGACCAGCGAACGACAGCATCATGGCGACGTCCTGCCCTGCTCGGGTTGCCTCTGGTACGTCGAGCGTCGTCAGCACCACGATTTTGGGTCCCATGCTATGCAGCTTGTCACACGCTGCTGCGGCTTCATCAATGCTTGAAATACTTGCTTGGGTCAGCAGCTCAGCCTCAAATTGATTTGGCGTTAAGATTGACACATGCTGTAAGACATCAGACCGATAGACGGCAACCAGGTCTTCAGGAACGTAGAGGTGGCCATTGTCACCCAACACTGGATCACAAACATAGCAGCAGCTTGCAGGAAGCATCTGACGCAGCTGAAGAACCTCGCGCAAGAATGATGCGGCGCCGATATAGCCCGTCAAGAGAAACGAATGATCAAGGACCTGATTCGTGGAAAGGCCCTGCACCAACGTCTGAAGATCGTCGCCTGATAACCGCTGCCCAGCGAAAGATGGATAACCTGTGTGGCAGCAGAACTGTACGGAGTTAATCACATCCACCTCAAAGCCCAACAGCTGGAGCGGGAAGACTGCGGCACGATTACCGACGTAGCCGTGGACAACGTGCGACTGCACGCTAAGCACGCGAGGCAAAGAGGCCATGGCTGGAACAAGGCTCTGATTACTTGAGCCAGTCCCCCAAAGGTCCCAGGAGGCTCGCATCTCGTAAGTGCAAGTGATAGCAAGACTGATCACCTTCCATTGAAATGGGCACTGTATGTTAACACCAGACACCAGCACACAGCATTGCCTGTGGCTTCGTCACTCTGTGAGCACAACCGCTGCCATGCTTGTGACGCTGAGATTCAGGAACCTCATCAACCGCGCGAGCATTTACAGTAGGATGCACATTCCATAGCTTGAAATGCATTCGCGGGCCTCCATGAGACGAGTACGCAGCATGTTCATCAAAGCCTGCTCTCTACAAGAACTAGCAAAAGCTTTAACCACATCTCCATCCACGCCATGTAACAGCAGGACACGCAGTCTTGTGATTTGCCTGCTGATCCTCTGCACCAAGCTGCGCAACATCCAGCAACTTGGAGCGGCTAGCCTTCAAAACACCACCGAAGAAGCAGGATCCTGCAAAGAAGTCTGCAAAGCATTGCTCAACGACTCTGCGAGAGCCTCGGGCACGTTGGCCACGCAGGCCTCAAGGCTCTCTGCAGGCGTAATGCACGCACTTGGACGAGAAGCTATAGGTGCAAGACGAAGAAAAGCATCAGCAAGCGAAGCTTCATCTCACTGGACAGCTCTGGGCGGTCCGTGAGAATCCTTCACGAATACAGGCGCCACTGCATATGCACCACGCAGTCGGAGGCTATGCTGTAATGCGTTTCTTGCTCCTTTGCAAGGTCGTCTGGAGATTTGTGATCTTGACGTCCTTGCCTGATCGGTCAATGCCGCAAGCTATATCCTGCGAATATGCGAATGACTGACTGGCAGAACCGGCGCAGCGTCAAGGCATGCACACACCTCGAAGCAGGGTCCTGCTCCAGCAAGCCCAAGTGAAGGGGCTCCAGGATCTGCTCTGAGTCCAAACGGCTATGAATTTGCCTTGTTATCGTAATCGCTCCATTACACTCTGCTTTCAGTGGCTACCTTCAAGCTCCCGGCGTGATCATGCCCAAGTGAAGCGCCATGCGGTCGACCGCATCACGCCTGGAGACCGAGTCGAAGCTTCAGTTCAACATATGTGGTCCTCCATCTGTCCAAGGAAGGAGGCAAGTTGAGGCACAAACATCTCAGGCGCAGCACGAAGTTGATCTAGCATTGCCTTCAGCTTTTGGCATGGGCAACGCGATTGACCTCTCAACCTGGAGTATGCTGCAATGTTTTCTGGGCAGCACGCCCGTGTGCTAATTGCTGTGGCATCCTGCTGCACATTCTGGCCTTACATCACGGACTTAAGGTGGAAGGCTCTTTTTCAACCGAGGGGGATTTGGGCTTGGCACGCTTGACTTCATCCACCTGCTTTTAGAAGCAAAGGCTGCGCCAGAAGGTAACAACATGTGATACGTCGCCAGGCAGCCTTGACTTCTACGAGCTCTCGCGCTGCTTCCAGGTGCATGTACTTTAGCTCCTGGAGAACCAAGCAAAACTTCTCCATGTGTGGTTCTGCTTCTGGCACCTCCCACAGCGGATCTGCCAAAAGCACCTCTTTGCTGTGTCCTGCGGAGCACAAGCTCATCCCCTTTGACCGCACGCATCTCGCTTCATTTCCTGTAATGAAAGTAGCCTGGGCTTTTCTCTCGAACCAGTTTGGCTGCGCGCTCCACCTTACGCTTGCTGTCCCACGTCCTCCGCTCTTCAGAGTCACAATGTTCCGATCCGCATCCAGCATGTTGCCGTCAAGCAGATCAAAGACGCAGGCCTCGAAGTGCCACGGCTCGGCCGGTTCTTTTAAATTTGCTGCGAGCAGCGGGAGCCTCGTAGCTGTATTCGTGAACTAGCGCTGCAGCCATATCAATGGAGCGGTCAAGAATCAGTAGCTGACCTCAAGCCGTCCCGTGAGACTTGAATTTGTAACAGTGAACTCAGCAAGCCCCCTGCACGGCTGGCTGTGTGACTGTGTCATCAAGCCTTTTTGCCTGGTCTGCATGGGCAGAATGCTCTCAAGTCATCATTGCTGATGGCTCTCTGCGCGTTCGCTCCAAACTGTTGTCAGGCGCCCACATGCCCAGTTCGCGCTGAACCCTTTCTGCCACATCTTGACCTGGTTGGAACCCAAACTGGCTCTTTAGCATATCTGTTCTGGGCACTCAACACCACCTGGTAGATGCACGTTGCTGTCATGTCATGTCTATTGAAAAGTTGAGAGTTTGACATAGCTCGGATTGGTAGCGGATTACCGGAGCGGTTGCCTCTCCCAAGCGAGAGCTCCGCATGGCTGAGCACTTTTCACTTTTCTACTGCAAGAAACTTCATGCTGAGGACTCCTGTCGGCATAAAGGGTATGCATGCACCAAAGCCCTGCAACGCCTGCAGGCATCGGCAGACATCCACGAGCTTCTGGACGGTGTCTGACAAAAGCTGCAAATCAGGCCTGGGCTTCAGAGGACTTCTGGGGACTTTCTGCTGCCGGGCCAAGGGGGATGCTGCAACGGTGGTTGCTGGAAGGCACCAGGCACTGGAAAAAGACCCGTGATCGCCTCGGGGGTGTCGAAGTGGAAACCTCGATCCTGTCCAGCAATGAGCCAGCAAGTCTCGTCAAATACCATGCTCTGCTCACAACGTATATGTAGCGAGTCATCATGCGCTGAACGTTTAACAATGTTGGGACTCTAAGCCCAAGTGCGCCCAGGAGCTATTCTTTGATTGTGGACAAGCTGTGCCTGTACAACCACGAAGCTCAGGGGCGCTTCAACAAAAGATTTTACCTTGGCTGGTAGCTCTTCATCAAAGAGCCCTGGCTGAGCATAGAAACCAGGGCTGCAGGCACGTGATGCCAAAGTCGGCGCCTGGGCAGCTGGCTGTGAACATCTGTGAACTGGCTACTGAGGTGACACTCCTTGCCTCAACAAGTTTTGAAAGAAGCGTGGCTTCCAATGGCTGCGAGAAGCAAAGGTGCACCTTGTGCAGCGGAGGACGGAACTGATCAGTGGCACATCTGGATTACGTGGATTATTTACGTATGTACATATATATACACATATACGACTGTATGTAATATGATGTAATATGTATAGCACATTCACATGATCTACCCAAGGCCAGGGCCTGTCGATGCTGCGGAGCACTCCTGAAGTCTGCAAGGAGCCGATCGATATTCGCGGCCTGGGGCCTCGTCTGCAAGCAGCTTGCAAGCTCCATGAACTCTTAACTATAGGAACACTATAAGAATAACAATACGTAGTAATCATAACCATAATAATAACCATAATAATAACATTCATAATAATACTACGAATAATAATAGTAGTAGGAGTACATCCGAAACTCTGCCCGCCTCAGGAAGTACAGCGCATCCAATCCAGGCCTTTGGAACCACTTTCACACGAATTGCAAGGACGCAATCTGGAGGGGCTTGGGTAGAAAGAGCACGTGCGTAACCTCACAGCGGACAGCCCGGATTCCCAGGTGCTTGGGGTTGTAGGACCGAATTTACCCCAAGACTGGGCATGCGACAGTGGCTCCCGGTTCTCTTCCAGCAACTCTACGCTGGTGACGCCCTGAAGGTCATCTCAGCAAGGCTTTTGCAAGGTCCATATATCGCCAGTTGGGGACAATGCAGGGGGAGCACAGTGTGAGGAACGTCACTCAACTACAGCTATTGGCTATTGTCTTGCTCCGGGGAGTGCGCTACGTTGCGCTGCCAGCCTCGGAGTGTAGGTCCCCCATTCGCAGAAAGGAATTGAGCACCTGGTAGTCATGCCACGGAGATGTGATTGGACCAACGGTGCTGCTCCGCGGGGTGTGTGTCAGTGTGGTTGAGCTCAGACCTCCTGGATGTGAACCGGCAGTTCTGGATTTTCAATACGGGCTTTCAATAGATCAGATTATGGGAAATATTTATTTGACACAATTATGCGCGATGCCGACAGAAGAGGATCCTGAGATCCTGAAGTCCGAATCCACACCCAGCATGCGACTGACATAGAACAAACGCACCGGACACGCGGAAATTCTCCTGTATGCCCTAGACCCGCAACCTTAGACTAAATCTCACGAAAGTACGGAAATTTATTGAAGCTTTCATGTCTGCGTGCTGGGACACGAACCCGTAGCGCCGCAGCATCCACAACCATCTGGAGTCGGTCTAGACCTACAAAAAAAGAAATATCGAATATGTACACATCACATATGTATATATATATATATATATGTATATGTATAAGGCTAGGATGTATCAGGATTACAAAGGGAGAATGGACAAGAACATGGAAACTGATTTGAGCTTAGGGACATTACCCCTAGAACCAAACGGAACAGACAATGAACGTTGAAATGGAAGCTGGCTTTGTATACACAGGGGTTACGGCGGAGGGTGTTGCAAGTTCTGCATCTCTATTTTCCTTCGCTGCTGGAGTCAAGGCTAGCCACGAGCAACACTTCACAGAGATTCTGTGGTCTCAGGAAGGACATGAGACCAATGACAAGCAAACAACAACTGCAAGTCAGCCGACGAACGAAGGCGCAGCAAGGACATACTTCCAGTAGCATCTTGCCGCATCAAACCAGATGCACGAGGAAGCAATGAGTCTCTACTCTTACAGCTGTCACTCCTAACTCCTAACTCCCAAGAAGTTTCAAGCTTCCTGTCTATGCACGCAGATCTGAGCAACTGGCCATCTCCGCCAGCCTTGAGAGCTCGGCGAAGAATGACCTATGGAAAACAATGAAGGGAAGCAAAATCATGTTTACAGCGCGGAATCTATATGGATGGTTGTCAAAATTCATGGTCCCTTTTTGGGTCCTTATTATAATACAGCACCTAATATTTAATACTTAGGGATATTTAGGGTACCCAAAAAGGGACCATAACTTTGACAACCACCCATGTCCTCAGCAAGCAGTGGGTACTATTTGCGTCTGACGCAAAACTTTTCAGCTCACGCAGTTGCTACTGCCGCAACTCCGAGTGCCAGTCCTCGAGCACGAGCTCTCTGCAAGTGCGCCTTGCTTAAACCGAGAGGCAAACCCACCGGTCATTCCCCAATCCCCCACCCAGCAATACACTTAGAAGACGTAAGCCTCTTGGCACCTACTTGCTGCAGGCCTCAGGGACATCGCTCAAGCTGCAATTCCACAGAGCTCCTCCACTCAAAACGCAGTGAACCAGTGCAAGCGTCCGGAAAGGCACAGGCACAGATCCTCTGTGGAATTGGTTGCCGTCAGCAGCTACCATCACCATTCTGCTGCATTTACTGCCAACGCATGCTTTGCCTATGAGCGGCATATTAAATTATCAAATGCCATGACTTCATATAAAAAGGCATGCAACTCTGTAAGGTATGCATACTTAGCATAGTCGCGCATTCGAGGATTTTGCTGAAGCTTTGATTTACCTGCTGAGGCGTCTATAGTCTATACGTGTCCGCAATGACAGAGCCACTGCAAATGTCCGGGTGCATTGAAGCTCCACGCCCGCTCTGGCTTCTGGACCCTGTGCACAGCAAGCTTTTTGGCCATTCGCGCAAGCTCCCCATAAAGGGACACGACATAAGCTGGACTGCCTTCGGCACCAAGCGATCGGGTTGCCAAAGAAGAGATAGGGGAGCCCTTGTTTGACTTGGCTTATCTGTCAAGTACCATGCAGAAACCACATAGGCCCTGACAAAGGTTGAGCTTTATGCCAGCCTGAATGCTTGGGATGTGAATGTACTCCGCTGTGTGTTTGTGTGAGACGCTTTGTATGAACGCCGCAGCTCCGATGTTATCGCGAGCCGCTACGAGATCCTGAGCCCAGGCAGAAGACCTGCACAGGGGCACGCTTCAGTTCACTTACTGCCGTGACCTGCCATTGAAGGTGTATACGATGACGATAGGCAACCCTGCTATAGGCTAAGGGCTTCACGGTTTTCACTTGGGACTTTTCCAAGCCAAGGGGATGGCCGGGATAGACCCCCAAATGCTACAGTCCGTATTGTCAGGCACGCCCAAAAAAGTATCCTTCAATTTTCGGGAAACTACCATGTAAACAGCTTTCTCGGAAAGTCAAGGAGAGCTCTACGGGACGGAGCTAGACCTACTGGTGCTTAAGGGGGAGTGAATGTAGGTACCATT